CTGTCCGGATTTTGTTTTACAAGGATGATCAACAAATGTTGCATCTTCACAGTTAGGGTCAGTTTTCCAAGAATTGCCAAATTCTATTTCACTATCTGTTATTGTACCATTTGACATAAAGAAATCATCTCCGCCATATCGATTGTATGTTCCACATAAACCAGATGTTCTGTTCAGGTACCGACCAAACACAGTCACTCTCACATTATGAACGTTGTTCCACTCAACTTCGACACCGTAATCGCTTTCGACCAACGTAATGCCACTTCTGGGTTGGGATATCTTCACTCCGTTGGCTAAAAGAAATAATGATGTTACAAGCGTATTAAAGTACTTGCAAGAAACACGAGGATTTTAGGTTCTGTCTTGATAAACAGGTTACACAATTTTAAATGAAAGAAACGTTATAATGCGAGAAGTTCAATTGAATCGTCTTATATCCAGAGATCTAAGTTTCGTAATGCAACTGTACAATGGGTCGTCGGTTTGTCCCCAAGTTCACTCAGCAGCGGTTTAAGAAATTACACATGCACATATAGCTACATAGAAGATTTGATTTTACGCTTCAGGATATTATTTCGGCTAAATACAATTCTATGAATAACATATTATTAGTAAATAGACAAAATTATGGCTAATATGAGTCATATCCTATAAATAAAAAAATCAAGGACAGGAGCAGTAAATTCTCACAAATCAATATAGCCATGTTACTTACCCATATACATTGTTGATAATGAGATTGTCATGCCATTCGCTGTCACACTTCCCCGCAGAAGTTGAATTGTCACATTTGGGAACATCACTGTCAGTGATTTTGTACAGGAAGGTTCACCATTTCCACATTCTTCATTTACTTGTCTTATTTCAAATGTGTTGTTCACACTGTCCTTAGCCAGAACATATTCGCATCTTCCCATGAAATCAAAGAGTTTTCCATCAAAGGTGGAGTAGTGTGGATCACCTCGAGCATTGCAGGTGGCTTTTACTGTTTAAATATACACATTGAATGTTGTATAACGTTGAAGTAGTATACCGTGATGTATACCGTTGAAAAATATCAATCATTTGGGGGCAAAGATATTCATAGAATATATCATATATATATTCACAGCCACAAATATGAAGATTTCAGTAAGTATTGGTGGTAGGAAAAGTTTAAAAACAAATATGAACATGTGCTATATGCTCGAGCTTACCTAAACGGCAATCAGGTTCTTCATAATCGTCTTTGCAAATACACTTAAAGATATCATCTGCTCGAACACACTGTTCGTTTTCGCCACAAGAAAGAAGACTGCAGTTCGTAGCTAAAAAAATATTGCTTAAAATTTTAAAATGAGCTATCAGATTTCCATAAACCAAGCTAGAGAATTATTAAACTTCATTTCTTAGCGTAAAAGGTGCAAAATCATTGATACTGAATATATACAATCTAAACGTTACCTTTACAATCACGACCATCTCCTATGAAACCTTCATCACAATCACATTTAAATGACCCAATTTTATTTTTGCACGTAGCATTTTCGTGGCAGTAATTGCTCATTAGGCATTCGTTGACGTCTACAATATAAATTAAACAGAGCTGCTTTTATTTTTTTTCCCATTTGACCAATTTGGTTATATTTGGTAAGCAATTAAGTATTTAAGTAGGAATCATCCATTGGCTAGTTGCGCAGGTTAGCGTCATTTTAATATACATGCGAAGTTACCTTCACAATAAGTGCCATTTCCAGCAAATCCCTCATTGCAAGAGCAGTTGAAACTTCCAAGAGAATTTGCACACGAAGAGTTCACGTGACAGAAGCTTCCAGCACAACATTCATCATTGTCTGTAAATGAATAGAATGTTTATAAGTTCTTTCTGCGAGCCTGCTGATAAAAATCAAAACCAACATTCGATAACAACACATGTTCTGTTATACTCTATTGTGTGTGGTAGCACTGAAACACACTTAGGCAGAGCAGAGCTAAAATATGTATTCTTAAAAATTAATATGTTTAGAACGACAGGAAATTGAGTAACCAAGTCAGTAAAAATAATGTAACGTCAGAAACTTTATCTCTTATGTTTGATGTACGTTGAAGTAAGAAAAAGAGCGAAACTCACCATATGCGATTATCAAGTCATTTATCGTAACATGATAGGTAAAATTTCCTTGTTTTTCGGACGATGTCTTCAAGTACTTATCAATACGGTTGCTGCTGGTGTCCAAGACATACAAATTTAGAACATCAGACGTCAATTCAACCGCCCCAGGATAACTAATGTTTAAACCAATTGTTTGCTTATTGAGACTAGTTTTCATAACATTGTGATTGATTCCATCATAGTTTGCCCAGTAAATGACGTTATTGTACTCATCCACAGAAATTGACTGCGCTGAACCATCAAAATTGAACTCCATTATTGTGTTATCTGCTGGGTTATAACGTACGATTGGAGGATCACCTGCTCTTGCTATGTAGAGGTAACTGTGAAGGATATTAAAGTAACTCAATACCAACTTACACAGACATAACTAATAATTAAACAAGCCTGGAGCAATTTCATAAAGTCTTACGTGCAATAACAACAAAGTACAATTTGAAAGAAAGTTGAGAGTCGCTGTCATCAAATATATTCATTTTATACACGTTTTGGTTGAGGAATATATTCCTTGTAAAATTAATATAAAAACCTAAACATTTTTGAAAAAAATCGTAAGAAAACAAGCCTTGCTCGCTTACCCATTTGTTGTGTCCATTTCCAGATCTTTTACACTAGATATATCTTTGAGAGCATCAACTTCAATCGCTGGCAATTGATCACCAGTAATATTATACACATATATTCTACTATGCAGTTCATGGTAGTAATACATCAAATTGTTTCTTCCATTGACAGTGAATAACTTCACATTTCCGATGTTTGTTGTCATCTCATCAGAACCATCTAAATAATAACTTGTGATTCCTTCACCATTAACATAGAGATATAACCGTCTGTTGATAGCATCATATGACAATAAGGCGCCAACTCTATCGTCAACCTTCATTGGGATACTTGTGGAGTTTTCTGTATTATAAGACACTGTTCCCGATGATGTTGACAAGAATAAATATGGTATTTGGCAAAGATCTACAACAGAAATACAAACTAAGAATGTTGTGCTGAAAAAACCTACCATTATCTTCGGCTAATTCATTCTATCACATGCAGGCCGTCTAAATTACACCGAAAACTTGAGATATAAATTTGAATATCTGTACACTAGCTAAAAATATCCTCTGTGAATCATTTACTCTAAATTGATATTAAAATTCCAATTTAGGCAAACAATAGAAGTCGACGTTTAGTCATTTTTCGCTGATGAGATTGTCTCGTTGTAGTTGTAGTGTTCATCGCGCATGGTAAGGTTGAAAATTACAAACTTTATTATAGGGTCTAAGCCTGTTAAAGAGCATCTCATCCCTTCGAACATGGTCAGAGGCGCCATAAGCAATTAAGGGTTGGGGGGGGGGTGACAGAATTTCCAAAAAGGGTCGACTTTAGTTTGCAAAGACAAACAAGGAAAATAATGTATTTTAGATGTGTGTCAGTTCAAATGAAGAATGGATTTTTATGGAATTCAACGTTGCATGCGTATTTCTGCTTTCGGCAGCACAAACATATTGAAGAACGAAATTACGAAATGAGACATTCAATGTCTATGAGCATAAAAAGAGCAAACTGCCCCCGTGGTTGCGGCAGCCAAGGACATGGTGCATCGTATTGGTAATGTATTTCAGGTTTATAGTTAAATATACTTGTATACGGGGTCATGCGAACAGCACCTAAAGGCCTGCGCACACTCGAGCTATATTGGTCATTCGTGCCACTTACGGCAAATATCTAGCATGTTTGATAATTTCTGCCTCGCGTGCCGAAATCTTTCGTGTGCGCCAAACTGAACGCTATCTGCTTATGGATTGTCTTAACAGCGCATGTGTAATATACAAAAATAACCAAAAGTCCAATATGGCGAACAGATTGCAAAAAATAAAATTATGGGTGAAAGTGAAGACGAAGAGGTGTTGTCATTTTTGCTGCTGTTGCGTCAACGGATTCACAATGTTAAAAATTATTTCAAATGATTGCCTGACAAGATGACGGTATTGTCGAAATTGTCAAATTGCTCTGGCTCTTCTGAGTTTAGTACTTGAACAAGATTGCGAAAGCTCCTTGACCATATCGTCTCATGATCCATCGCTTCGTCCACGTAAAAATAACAACACCTCTTCGTCTTCACTTTCATCCATAATTTTATTTTTTGCAAACTGTTCGCCATCTTGGATGTTTACTTTCGTATATTACGCATGCGCTGTTCAGACAATCCATAAGCAGATAGCTTTCATTTCGCCGCACACGGAAAGATTTCGGTGCGCGAGGCAGAAATTATCAAATATGCCAGATATTAGCCGTAAGTGGCACGAATGACCAAAGTCCCCGGAAAAGTCGCCCGCAAACGAGAGCAACTGGCTACGGCAATGGCCACGAATGACTTTTTGCTAAGCACATAGCTCTAGTGTGCGCCGGCCTTAAGATCAAAAAACATATTCAGCAGCGCAAATATATATTAAAATAAAGTTATTATTATCTATAGCGATGGTGAATATGACTAGATGGGTGAATTAATACTGTGCATGATGATGCTATACTCTGCATGAATTAGCAATTGGGAAAAGGAAAAGAATAAGGTCCATTCTATGCTTCATGAAGACATTGAAAAATTGTTATAATTATTGTCGTACAAAAGTCCAAATGGATTTTTTTTTACCTTTGTTCTCACATCGGGCACCAATATATCCGGCAGGACATCTACATTCAAATGACGAAGAATCAATGTCTGTACACGTTCCGCCATTATAACATGGAGCACTTGCGCACGGCGTGTCTAAAACAGAGGCGAAGTGCTCATATAATTGTTGGTTGTATAAAAAAGTTTGCCATATCTATCGCATAGTAAAATTAGTTTTTAGCCTTTAATAATAGTTTTCTTATTTTTGTAAAGTATTTACAACGGCAATTTGCATTAGATTTAGTTTTACCAACTATATAACGAACCTTTGTGACTAGAAAACTAAAACGTATGGAGCCTTGTATTAATTTTTTAGTCTAGATATGAAACGAATGCTTTTATTTTCAATTCTAATTTCGTAACGCAATGGAGTTTACCTTCTATATTCACATCTTTATCTATACTTACTGCAAATGGCAAATTGCTCTAAATTCATCCACGTTATTTTGACGTCGGAAGAGCAATCATCAGCATACGTTTGAAGCGCTTGACAATAACAAGCAACAGAATCATCTTCACAAGCACACATATCATATTCACAATCTGAAATATATCCTTCTTCAGTTGCATTGATATAACTGGAACAATTACTGAAGGGTGGCTTGAGTAATGCTGAACAATTCTCTCGTGCTATCAATCTTCTCTCTGCATTGGCGTCACATGGGTGGTCCACTGTAGTTGCATTTTCACATGTAGGATCGACTTTCCAAGAATTTCCAAACTCTACTGGATCACCTACGATGGTACCGTAAGGTGTCCAGAAATCATCATATTTCATTTTGTTATAAGTACCACATAAACCTGATGTTCGGTTCACGTATCGACCTGCGATTGTTACTCGAACATTATAAACATTGTTCCAAAACACAGTTACACCATAATCACTTGTCACGACGGTCCTACCATTGCCATGAATTGTAACGTTTACAGCTGAAAAAAATGAAAAAGCCCTAATAATACTGCATGCATCGTTAGCCAAAATGTGGCAATTTTGCAATCTTTTGTAATTATGTATTCTGAACGTTCATTTTGTTGTTTTATGTAAATTTGTGTGTGCGGTATACTTGTCAGTACCAACCACAGTTATAGAATGCATCAAAATAAATCAACACGCAACAAATTTTGTAAATCTATTTAGATTAGAAAAAAAAATTTACCCCCGTAGTTTGTCGACGAGCTGATCTCTCCACCATTCACATTAGTCATTCCTCTCTGAAGTTTGATAGTTAAACCCGGAAAGATGACTGTTATTGATTTTGTACATGTTACTAGTCCATTTCCACAAGGTTCATTTTCTTGTCTTATTTCAAATGTGTTGTTTACTCTGTCTTTAGCCAGAACATATTCGCATTTACCCATGAAGTCGAAACGTTTTCCATCGAACGTTCTATAATGAGGATCTCCATAAGTTACACACGTCGCTTCGACTAGAAATGTGGAAAAAATACAGAATGTGAAAAATGGTTCTTTTTTCCTCGAAGAAAAATGGCTCTTTTTTAATCGTTATGTTTACCAGTGACCACATTTTAGGACACTACTTTTCACTACGGAATAATAACCCAGGAGAGGTCGATCTCAAGTTAAACCATAACCATCAACAGTAATTCGTGAATTGCATTTGGACAGTGACTTGGAGCGAAATGATATTGTGTGGTATTAATTTTTAAAACAGAGAAGCATAATCGATTATGACAGTCATCCTTTTCAGCCAAATTTTACTGAACTTGTACATGATGTTCCAAACCGTAGAAAATTGTATACACCGATGTAAATAAACATTTGCCCGAAATAAACATTAAATCTAAGGTCCTTAAAATGAATGAAAATTACCAGAAACCATTCCTAAAAAATATAATGGTGCTATTAGACGCGCATACCAACCTTTTTGTTTACAATCATCTCCTGTATAATCTTGATGACAAACGCAATCAAACGTATCTCCAACTCTGACACAAACTTCATTTTCACCACAAGATAGATCATCACAATCATCAACTAAATTAAATAATAAATAAAAACCTTTCGTCCGCCGTTCAGTTACAAATATCAGTGGACGGTATACAAAATGCAAACAAAAGAAATAATTTTGCAGGCAGTAAGACTTGTGCAAACTAATAATTTATTTTGGAACAACGTGTGTATTTATTATATGGAAAGCTTTCGGCTAGTTAACCCAGGCGTTAAATGATTACTTTAATCGAAGCTATCATCATGCAATTCACCATGCAGTGAAAATTTCAAGAATCTTATTTGAGTATTACAGCGAATTATTTCCGTACTTTGTGCATTTTACAGAATGTTGCCGTCAAACATTGCGTTTGTAGCAATGCGATGCTAATTGTCCGTTATGCACCACACTTTATGATATCTTTTACAGGTATTAAAAATTTACATTGCAATTTATATAGCAAGTTGTCCTCCATTAAGGCTTTTACAATATCAAATAGAAAATCATTCTGAGTGAAGCAAAACAGCCTTAATTTACTCTATCAGAAAAAAACATAAAATATTTACCTTCCATTTCACAGCGGTGACCAGTAAACCCGACAGGACATGAACACGAAAAGTTACTATGAATATTTGTACAAGTACCACCATTGAAACAAGGATCACTAGCACAAGGAGTAGCTGAATAGAGAATAAGTTTGGGTTAACCTTATCATAAGTTGTACTGTTGTAAAAAAAGGTGAGGCTGCCATTACTAGAAATTAGTTTAGCCATTCATTTTCTATTTATCCGACGTCGCTAAGTACACAATACATTTACATTTGTCTTCATTTAGCAGATAAAGACGGAATTGATTACTTACTACATTGCTGATATTGAGGATAACTCAACCAGGTAATATTCACTCCATACGAGGCACAGTCATCTACATACGCCTCTATTGCTTGACATAAACAAACAGTTGGATGATCATCACAAGCACAAACATCATATTCACAATCGCTAATATAACCCTCTGCGTCTGGGTTGATATAACTTGAGCATTTATCAAATGGAGAATCGCGTAGAGCTGAACAGTTGGCTCTTGCAGTTGCATTTCTGTCAGGATTTGTTGTACAAGGATGATCAACAAATGTTGCATCTTCACAGCTAGGGTCAGTTTTCCAAGAATTGCCAAATTCTACTTCATTGTCTGTTGTTGTACCATTTGACATCAAGAAATCATCTCCGCGATATCGATTGTATGTTCCACATAAACCAGATGTTCTGTTCAGGTACCGACCAAACACAGTCACTCTCACATTATGAACGTTGTTCCACTCAACCTCGACACCGTAATCGCTTTCGACCAACGTAATGCCACTTCTGGGTTGGGATATCTTCACTCCGTTGGCTAAAAGAAAAAATGATGTTACAAGCGTATTAAAGTACTTGCAAGAAACAGGAGGACTTTACGTCCTGTCTTGATTTACGCATATTACGCATGTACATAACTATATAGAGGATTTAACTTCACACATCAGGATAATATTTTGGCTAAATACAATTGTATAGATAACATATTATTAGTGAATAGACAAAATTATGACTAATATGTGTAATATCCAGTAGATAAAAAAATCAAGGAGAGGAGCAGTAAATTCCCACAAACGAATATAGCCATGTTTACTTACCCATATACATTGTTGATAGTGAGATTGTCGTGCCATGCACTGTCACACTTCCCCGCAGAAGTTGAATTGTCACATTTGGGAACATCACTGTCAGTGATTTTGTACAGGAAGGTTCACTATTTCCACATTCTTCATTCACTTGTCTTATTTCAAATGTGTTGTTCACACTGTCCTTAGCCAGAACATATTCGCATTTTCCCATGAAATCAAAGAGTTTTCCATCAAATGTGGAGTAGTGCGGATCACCTCGAGCATTGCAGGTGGCTTTTACTGTGGAAATATACACATTGAATGTTGTATAACGTTGAATGCAGTATACCGTGATGTATATACTGTTGAAAAATATCAATCATTTGGGGGAAAAGATATTCATAAAATATATCATAGATATATTCACAGCCACAAATATGAAGATTTCAGTAAGCATTGGTGGTAGGAAAAGTTTAAAAACAAATATGAACATGTGCCATATGCTCGAGCTTACCTAAACGGCAATCAGGTTCTTCATAATCGTCTTTGCAAATACACTTAAAGATATCATCTGCTCGAACACACTGTTCGTTTTCGCCACAGGAAAGAAGACTGCAGTTCGTAGCTAAAAAATATTGCTTAAAATTTTAAAATGAGCTATCCATAAACCAAGGAAGAGAATTACTAGACTTGATTTATCAGCGTAAAAGGTGCAAAGATCATTGCTACTGAATATATACAATCTAAACGTTACCTTTACAATCACGACCATCTCCTATGAAACCTTCATCACAATCACATTCAAATGAACCAATTTTATTTTTGCACGTAGCATTTTCGTGGCAGTAATTGCTCATTAGGCATTCGTTGACGTCTACAATGTAAATTAATATCGTTAAATAGAGCTGCTTTTATTTTTTCCGATTTGACCAATTTGGTGACTACCAAATGTCCGATAACAGATAGTCTGTATTTCAATTGATGATTTAAGTTGTAGACTACTTTATTACAGATTGATAGAGTTTTAGTACAAATTGTTTATCTTGGCTTAATAGAAATTCGTAATGCTGTAATATTGACAATTTATATTTTGAGAATAAACTTTGTAATTTTATTGGTTTTGTTATATTATACAGGGGGTAGTTTAAAGAAGGCATTAAAAGATTTTAAACTGCATGTTAGGAAAAATATCATTTGAAACACTTTGTTTTAAGATCAATAACTAGATATGCATAAAAATTATGTAGATATGTAAACTTTTCCTCAAGAAATGTGTAATATAGAGGAAATTCTTCACACAATTATTTACATTCAGGAATTAAAAATTAATTCAAATGAATAAAAATTATAGGTTAGATTACCCATATCTGAAAAAAGCAGTTAAGTATTTAAGTAGGGATCATCCATTGGTTAGTTGCGCAGGTTAGTGTCATTTTAATATACATGCAAAGTTACCTTCACAATAAGTGCCATTTCCAGCAAATCCCTCATTACAGGAGCAGTTGAAACTTCCAAGAGAATTTGCACATGTAGAGTTCACGTGACAGAAGGTTCCAGCACAACATTCATCATGGTCTATAAATGAATAGAATGTTTATAAGTTCTTTCTGTGAGCCTGTTGATAAAAATCAAAACCAACATTCAATAATAACACATGTTCTGTTATACTGAGAGCAGAGCAAAAATAAGAATTTATTTTATAAAATATGTTTAGAACGACAAGAAATTGAGTAACCAAGTGAGTAAAAATAATGTAATGTCAGTAACTTTATGTCTTATGTTTAATGTAAATTGAAGTAAGAAAAAGAGCGAAACTCACCATATGCAATTATCAAGTCATTTATCGTAACATGGTAGGTAAAATTTCCTTGTTTTTCGGACGATGTCTTCAAGTACTTATCGATACGGTTGTTGCTGGTGTCCAAGACATACAAATTTAGAACATCAGACGTCAATTCAACCGCCCCAGGATAACTAATGTTTAAACCAATTGTTTGCTTATTGAGACTAGTTTTCATAACATTGTGATTGATTCCATCATAGTTTGCCCAGTAAATGACGTTATTGTACTCATCCACAGAAATTGACTGCGCTGAACCATCAAAATTGAACTCCATTATTGTGTTATCTCCTGGGTTATAACGTACGATTGGAGGATCACCTGCTCTTGCTATGTAGAGGTAACTGTGAAGGAAATTAAAGTAACTCAATACCAACTTACACAGACATAACTAATAATTAAACAAGCCTGGAGCAATTTCATAAAGTCTTACGTGCAATAACAACAAAGTACAATTTGAAAGAAAGTTGAGAGTTGCTGTCATCAAACATATTCATTTTACACACGTTTTGTTGAGGAATATATTCCTTGTAAAATTAATATAAAGACCTAAACATCTTTGAAAAAAATCGTAAGAAAACAAGCCTTGCTCGCCTTACCCATTTGTTGTGTCCATTTCCAGATCTTTTACACTAGATATATCTTTGAGAGCATCAACTTCAGTCCCTTGCGATTGGCCACTAGTAATATTGTACACATATATTCTACTATGCAGTTCATGGTAGTAATACATCAAATTGTTTCTTCCATCGACAGTGAATAACTTCACATTTCCGATGTTTGTTGTCATCTCATCAGAACCATCTAAATAATAACTTGTGATTCCTTCACCAACATCATAGAGATATAACCGTCTGTTGATAGCATCATATGACAATAAGGCGTTTACTCTATCGTCAACCTTCATTGGGATACTTGTGGAGTTTTCTGTATTATAAGAGACCGTTCCCGATGATGTTGACAAGAATAAATATGGTATTTGGCAAAGATCTATAACAGAAATACAAACTAAGAATGTTGTCCTGAAAAACCTAAGATTATCTTCGCTAATTCGCTCTACCACATGCAGGTGTCTAAATTACACCGGCAACTTGAGATATAAATTTGAATATCTGTACACTAGCTAAAAATATGCTCTGTGAATCATGTACTCTAAATTGATAATAAAATTCCAATTTATGCAAACAATAGACGTCGACGTTTAGTCATTTTTCGTTAATGATAGAATTGTCTCGTCATAGTTGTAGTGTTCATCGCGCATGGTAAGGTTGAAAATTACAAATTTTATTATAGGGTCTAAGTCTATTAAAGAGCATCTCATCCCTTCCAACATGGTCAGAGGCACCGTAAGCAATCAAGGATTGGGGGGGGGACAGAATCTCGAAAAAGGGTCGACTTTCGTTTGCAAAGACAAACAAGGAAAATGATGTAATTTAGAACAGCGCGCGTCTTTATTCAATCTTCAAAATAATGAAGAATGGAATTTTATGGAATTCAACGTTGCATGCGTACTTCTGCTTTCGGCAGCACAAACATATTGAAGAAAGAAAATTACGAAATGAGATATTTGATGTCTATGAGCATAAAAAAGAAAACTGCCCCCGCTGCCCCGTGGTTCTGGAGGCCCGGGACATGGTACATCGTATTGGTCATGTATATTTCAGGTTTATAGTTTAATATATCTGTATACGGGGTCATGCGAACAGCACGAAAGATCAATAAACATATTCAGCAGGGCAAATGTACAATAAAATATAGTTAGTATTATCTACCGCTGGCATGCTGAAATATAGCGATTCTGCATAGGACTCGATCGGGTGAATTAATATTGTGATGGGGCTATACTCTGCATGAGTTAGCAACTGGACATGCTGAAGCATTCCCGCTTTGACTCTGAGTATCCTCATACATCACAATACGCTGAAACATTTTAAACGAGACCTTCCGGGTGAAAAAATAATCGGCCATGTCCATTCTATGGTTCACGAGGACATTGAAAAATTCTTATGATCATTATCGTACAAAAGTCCAAATGGATTTGTATTTACCTTTGTTCTCACATCGGGCACCAATATATCCGGCAGGACATCTACATTCAAATGACGAAGAATCAATGTCTGTACAGGTTCCGCCATTATAACATGGAGCACTGGCGCACGGCGTGTCTAAAACAGAGGCAAAGTACTCATAATTATAGTTTGTTGTATAAAAAATGTTTGCCATATCTATCGCATAGTAAAATTAGTTTTTAGCCTTTTATAATATTTGTCTTATTTTGTCTAAGTGTTTACAACGGTAATTTCCTGTAGTTTTAGTTTTACCAACTATATAATGAACGCTTGTGACTAGAAAACTGAAACGTATGGAGCCTTGTATTAATTTTTTAGTCTAGATATGAAACGAATGCTTTTATTGCAATTCTAATTTCGTAACGCAATGGAGTTTACCTTCTATATTCACATCTTTATCTATACTTACTGCAAATGGCAAATTGTTCTAAATTCATCCACGTTATTTTGACATCGGAAGAGCAATCATCAGCATACGTTTGAAGCGCTTGACAATAACAAGCAACAGAATCATCTTCACAAGCACACATATCATATTCACAATCTGCAATATATCCTTCTTCAGTTGCATTGATATAACTGGAACAATTACTGAAGGGTGGCTTGAGTAATGCTGAACAATTCTCTCGTGCTATCAATCTTCTCTCTAAATTGGCGTCACATGGGTGGTCCACTGTAGTTGCATTTTCACATGTAGGATCGACTTTCCAAGAATTTCCAAACTCGACTGGATCACCTACGATGGTACCGTAAGGTGTCCAGAAATCATCATATTTCATTTTGTTATAAGTACCACATAAACCTGATGTCCTGTTCACGTATCGACCTCCGATTGTTACTCGAACATTATAAACATTGTTCCAAAACACAGTTACACCATAATCACTTGTCACGACGGTCCTACCATTGCCATGAATTGTAACGTTTACAGCTGAAAAAAAATGAAAAAGCCCCAATAATACTGGATGCATGGTGGTTAGCCAAAATGTGGCAGTTTTGCAATCTTTTGTAATGATGTATTCTGAACGTTCATTTTGTTGTTTTATGTAAATTTGTGTGTGCGGTATACTTGTCACTACCAACCACAGTTAATGAATGCATCAAAATAAATCAACACGCAACAAATTTTGTAAATCTATTTAAACTAGAAGAAAAATTTTACCCCCGTAGTTTGTCGACGAGCTGATCTCTCCACCATTCACATTAGTCATTCCTCTCTGAAGTTTGATAGTTAAACCCGGGAAGATGACTGTTATTGATTTCGTACATGTTACTAGTCCATTTCCACAAGGTTCATTTTCTTGTCTTATTTCAAATGTGTTGTTTACTCTGTCTTTAGCCAGAACATATTCGCATTTACCCATAAAGTCAAAACGTTTTCCATCGAACGTTCTATAATGAGGATCTCCATAAGTTACACATGTCGCTTCGACTAGAAATGTGGAAAAATACAGAATGTGAAGAATGGTTCTTTTTTGCTCGAAGAAAAATGGGTCTTTTTTAATCGTTATGTTTACCAGTGACCACATTTTAGGATACTACTTTTCACTACGGAATAATAACAGAGGAGAGGTCGATCTCAAATGAAACCATAACCATCAACAGTAATTTGCGAAAAACATTTGGACGGTGACTTGAAGCAAAATTATATTGTGCGGTATTAACTTTTAAAACAGTGAAGCAAAATCGATGATGACAGTCATCCCTTTCAGCCAAATTTTACTGAACTTGTACAGGATTATCGAAACCGTAGAGAAGATTGTATACGCAGATATAAGAATCACCTTGCCCGAAATAAACATTAAATCTAAGGTCCTCAAAAAGATATAAGAATCCTTTTACCGGAAATAAACAAAATGATGAAAATTACAAGAAATCCATTCCTAAAAATATAATGGTGCTATTAGACGTATACCAACCTTTTTCTTTACAATCATCTCCTGTGTAATCTTGATGACAAACGCAATCAAACGTATCTCCAACTCTGACACAAACTTCATTTTTACCACAAGATAGATCATCACAATCATCAACTACGATAAAAATAATAAATAAAAATCTTTCATCCGCCGTTTAGTTACAAATATCAGTAGACGGTATACAAAATGCAAATAAAAGAAATAATTTTGAAGTAAGTAAGACCTGTGCATGCAGTATCTAAACTAAAAAATTTTTTTGGAACAACGCGTGTGTTTATTATATGCAAAGCTTTCAGCCGGTTACAATAACCCGGGCGTTAAATGATTACTTTAATTGAAGCTAGTATCATGCAATTCACCATGCAGTGAAAATTTCAAGAATATTATTTGAGTATTACAGCGAATTATTCTGGTACTTTCTGCATTTTACAGAATGTTGCCGGCAAACATTGCGTTTGTGGCAATGCGATGGTAATTGTCCGTTATGCACCACACTTTATGATATCTTGTACAGGCATTAGAAACTTACATTGCAATTCATATAGCAAGTTATCCTCCATTAGGGGATTTACAGTATCGGGTAGAAAATCGTTCTGAGTGAAGCAAAACATCCTTAATTTATCAGAACAACACAATAATTGAAAATATTTACCTTTCATTTCACAGCGGTGACCAGTAAACCCGACAGGACATGAACACGAAAAGTTACTATGAATATTTGTACAAGTACCACCATTGAAACAAGGATCACTAGCACAAGGAGTAGCTGAATAGAGAATAAGTTTGGGTTAACCTTACCATAAGTTGTACTGTTGTAAAAAAACGTGAGGCTGCCATTACTAGAGATTAGTTTAGCCATTCAGTTTCTATTTATCCGACGTCGCTAAGTACACAATACATATACATTTGTCTTCATTTAGCGGAGAAAGACGGAAGTGAATACTCACTACATTGCTGATATTGAGGATAACTCAACCAGGTAATATTCACTCCATACGAGGCACAGTCATCTACATACGCCTCTATTGCTTGACATAAACAAAGAGTTGGATGATCATCACAAGCACAAACATCGTATTCACAATCGCTAATATAACCCTCTGAGTCTGGGTTGATATAACTTGAGCATTTATCAAATGGAGAATCGCGTAGAGCTGAACAGTTGGCTCTTGCAGTTGCATTTCTGTCAGGATTTGTTGTACAAGGATGATCAACAAATGTTGCATCTTCACAATCAGGGTCAGTTTTCCAAGAATTGCCAAATTCTACTTCATTGTCTGCTATTGTACCATTTGACATCAAGAGATCATCTCCGCCATATCGATTATATGTTCCACATAAACCAGATGTTCTGTTCAGGTACCGACCAAACACAGTCACTCTCACATTATGAACGTTGTTCCACTCAACTTCGACACCGTAATCGCTTTCGACCAACGTAATGCCACTTCTGGGTTGGGATATCTTCACTCCGTTGGCTAAAAAAAAGAATGATGTTACAAGCGTATTAAAGTACTTGAAAGAAACAGGAGGATTTTAGGTCGTGTCTTGATAAACCGGTTGCACAGTTTTAAAGCCATGTTTACTTACCCATATACATTGTTGATAATGAGATTGTCATGCCATTCGCTGTCACACTTCCCCGCAGAAGTTGAATTGTCACATTTGGGAACATCACTGTCAGTGATTTTGTACAGGAAGGTTCACCATTTCCACATTCTTCATTTACTTGTCTTATTTCAAATGTGTTGTTCACACTGTCCTTAGCCAGAACATATTCGCATTTTCCCATGAAATCAAAGAGTTTTCCATCAAATGTGGAGTAGTGCGGATCACCTCGAGCATTGCAGGTGGCTTTTACTGTGGAAATATACACATTTAATGTAGTATAACGTTGAATGTAGTATACCGTGATGTATACCGTTGAAAAATATCAATCATTTGGGGGAAAGATATTCATAGAATATATCATACATAGATATACTCACAGACACAAATATCAAGATTTCAGTAGTTATTGGTGGTAGGAAAAATTTAAAAACAAAATATGAACATGTGCCATATGCTCGAGCTTACCTAAACGGCAATCAGGTTCTTCATAATCGTCTTTGCAAATACACTTAAAGATATCATCTGCCCGAACACACTGTTCGTTTTCGCCACAAGAAAGAAGACTGCAGTTCGTAGCTAAAAAATATTGCTTAAAATTTTAGAATGAGCTATCAGATTTCCAAGGAAGAGAATTACTAGACTTGATTTATGAGCGAAAAAGGTGCAAAGATCATTGATACTGAATATATACAATCTAAACGTTACCTTTACAATCACGACCATCTCCTATGAAACCTTCATCACAATCACATTTAAATGACCCAATTTTATTTTTGCACGTAGCATTTTCGTGGCAGTAATTACTCATTAGGCATTCGTTGACGTCTACAATGTAAATTAATATCGTCAAACAGAACTGCTTTTATTTTTTTTCCATTTGACCAATTTGGTGGCTACCAATTAAATGTTTAACGGAATCGAAAAATTTTGAGAAGTGGGGTAAATGTTTTTTTTGGCACGGGGGGGGTAAGTGTCCAATAACAGATAGTCGCAATTCAATAGATCATTTTAGTTGTAGACTACTTTATTATGGATTGATAGAGGTTTAGTGCATATTGTTCATCTTTGCTTAATACAAATACGTAATCCTGTATTATTGACAATTTATATTTTAAGAACAAATTGTTAAATTATTTTATTGAATTTTTTTTATATTATACAGGGATAGTTTAAAGGAGGCATTAAAAGATTTTAAACAGCATGTTAGGAAAAATATCATTTGAAATACTTTGTTTCAAAATCAATAACTAGATATCCATAAAAATGGTGTAGAAATGTAAAAATTTTTTGTAAAAAATGTCTAATAAAATTATAGGTTAGATTATCCAAGCCTGAAAATATGAGCAATTAAGTATTTTGGAGAAAAGTAGAACTATAGGCATATACAAGAAAATCTATAATTGGCGGAATTTTTTTAAAAAAAAACGTCATTTCAATGTAAGAAGGTGAATTTGTCTCAATAATCACAGTTATCACACATCCCATTGCACGGAATCACAGTTTCCACTGACAGTGATACAAAACTGCTCGAAAATACGAATGACTTGTTGTCGTCTAGCTCATTCCTTCACGATTGCTTACATGCACCTAGAGCTACATGCAACTGTAGACAATATAGCTAAGGGGCTGGGGATTTTCACTCCAGTACTATTCTACCTGTGTTGTTAGATTTTATTCTTCTAGAATAATTTTTTTTTGTAGGTGGAATCATCCATTGGCTAGTTGCGCAGGTTAGCGTCATCTTAATATACATTCAAATTTACCTTCACAATAAGTGCCATTTCCAGCAAATCCCTCGTTGCAGGAGCAGTTGAAACTTCCCAGAGAATTTGCACACGAAGAGTTCACGTGACAGAAGGTTCCAGCACAACATTCATCATGGTCTGTAAATGAATAGAATGTTTATAAGTTCTTTCTGTGAGCCTGCTGATAAAAATCAAAACCAACATTCAATAACAACACATGTTCTGTTATACTCTATTGTGTGTGGTAGTACTGAAACCCACTTAGGCAGAGCAGAGCTAAAATATGAATTTTTAAAATATGTTTACAACGACAGGAAATTGAGTAACCAAGTCAGTAAAAAATGTAATGTTAGAAACTTTATCTCTTATGTTTGATGTACGTTGAGGTAAGAAAAAGAGTGAAACTCACCATATGCAATTATCAAGTCATTTATCGTAACATGGTAGGTAAAATTTCCTTGTTTTTCTGACGATGTCTTCAAGTACTTATCAACACGGTTGTTGCTGGTGTCCAAGACATACAAATTTAGAACATCAGACGTCAAGTCAACCCCCCCAGGATAACTAATGTTTAAACCAATTGTTTGCTTATTGAGACTAGTTTTCATAACATTGTGATTGATTCCATCATAGTTTGCCCAGTAAATGACGTTATTGTACACATCCACAGAAATTGACTGAGCTGAGCCATCAAAATTGAACTCCATTATTGTTTTATCTGCTGGGTTATAACGTACGATTGGAGGATCACCTGCTCTTGCTATGTAGAGGTAACTGTGAAGGAAATTAAAGTAACTCAATTCCAACTTACACTGACATAACTAATAATTAAACAAGCCTGGAGCATTTTCATAAAGTCTTACGTGCAATAACAACAAAGTAATATTTGAAAGAAAGTTGACAGTTGCTGCCATCAAATATAATATATTATTTTTAAAAACGTTTTGGTTAAAAAATATATTACATGTGAAATAAAAATGAAAACCTAAATATTTGTGGAAAAAAATCTTAAGAAAACAATATTTAACAGACTTACCCATTTATCATGTCCATTTCCAGATCTTTTACACTAGATATATCTGAGAGAGCATCAACTTCAGTCCCTTGCGATTGGCCACTAGTAATATTGTACACATATATTCTACTATGCAATTTATGGTAGTAATATATCAAATTGTTTCTTCCATCGACGGTGAAAAAGTCTACATTTCCGATGTTTGTTGTCATCTCATCAGAACCATCTAAATAATAACTTGTGATTCCTTCACCAACAACATAGAGATATAACCGTTTGTTGATAGCATCATATGACAATAAGGCGCCAACTCTATCGTCAACCTTCATTGGGATACTTGTGAAGTTTTCTGTTTTATAAGACACCGTTCCCAATGATGTTGACAAGAATAAATATGGTATTTGGCAAAGATCTATAAACAACAACGTAAACTCAAAATGTTGTTATAAAAAGACATTCTATTCATGTTTCAATGAAAGGTTATGATATAAAAGATTATATAGAGTGATGGTACCTTCTTATGCAAAAATACAAAACAAAGATTGGAAGATTAGTAAACGAAATTAAAATGACCCACTTAATTTCTGATCGGGGACTATATAGCTTTTAAACAAACCTTTGCGTACATTTTAAATAGCAATCTTTGATTCAATATAATAAACGGTCTGCAAGTCTAACAAAATATTAGTTTCACATACGCGCTAAATGGGTATGGCATTGTTCGTAGCATGTTAAAGAAGGATGCGAAAAAAGGCAATTTCCTTTTAAATAAACATGCAGGCTTCCTATTGCCAAGAGCAGAACTGTTATGCTGACATTGCTGTAATCCTTCGCCAATATATCATTGTTTGACAACAACAACGACGCACCAACACATTTGCGTAGCAAAAACATCAAATATTTACAATAAAAACAAAACATTTGGTGTACGAAGCTACAAATGAGCCGCTTTAGTCTATTAGTCTACTATTTCTATTCTATGTATACCTTTCATTTCACATCTATCTCCCAGAAATCCAGCAGGACATCTACACTCAAATGAATTGTGACCAACGTTTGTACAGCTTCCTCCATTATAACATGGCGCGCTTGCACACGGGGTACCTGTGGGGAAAAAACATGCTCATAATTATAATAATGAAGAAAAATGCGTTAGTAAAGCTCGTTTGTTTCGAGTAAAGCTTTTGACCACTCAATAATAACGGTAAACGAACAAAAAGGGGTGCAATTAATGACTAATCATAAAAGTGTTTACAAAAACAATCAGCCGCGCAGCAGGGGCCGGTTGTATAAAACTATTTAACTAAACTTTCATAGTTAAATCCTATAGTCAACTCAGAAAAACACAACTCTGATTAGCAAATTCTTTCCTTAACTACAGTCAAAAGTTAAAGTGCCTATATCACTCGTGGAATCTTCATGCATTTGAAAACAATGTAAAAAGTTAGTTAATATATTAGATACTAGCCTTTAAACTACCTGCAGTTCCTGAGTCCCAGGCTCCTGTAAACAACAGGCAGTTTCAAATTGAATAGCCGTGTTTAAACCCAGGAGGTTGGGACTCAGGAACCGCAGGTAGTTTAGAGGCTTGTATCTTCGAAATCATTGCACTATATCAAAAAACTTTTTTTAATATATTAACTAACTTTTTACGTTCTTTTCAAATGCATAAAGATCCCACGAGTGATATAGGCACTTCAACTAGTTTTATTTATTTACAACTGGCCCAAGGAGATTAGTTTGTTAACGAGGAGTATGTGATTTTTGAATTAATGTACCGAATAATTCGTCCTGTTATATTTTCTGTTATCAAAAACGTGAACAATCAATATCATTACGTGGGTTTTCATTTTTACACATTACATGTCACGACAAAAGTTGGAGAGTTTTGTTAGAGACACAAAAGTATCATTAGGTAGGGTATTTTAGGCAGTTATTACATCATATTTGAGCTCTTAATAGGATAGTAATCTAGCGAATTTACTCACTGCAAATGGCGAATTCATCTAAATTCATCCAATCAATTTCGATGTTGGAAGAGCAATCATCAGCGTAAGCTTCAAGAGCTTGACAATAACAAACAACAGGATCATCTTCACAAGCACACATATCATATTCACAACCTGCAATATATCCTTCTTCAGTTGCATTGATATAACTGGAGCAATTACTGAAGGGTGGTTTAAGTAATGTTGAACAATTCTCTCGTGCTATCAATCTTCTCTCTGGATTGGCGTCACATGGGTGGTCTACTGCAGTTGCATTTTCACATGTAGGATCGACTTTCCAAGAATTTCCAAACTCTACTGGGTCAGTTACGATTGTTCCATAAGACGTCCAGAAATCATCATATTTCATTTCATTATAAGTACCACATAAACCTGATGTTCTGTTTAAGTATCGACCTCGAACAACCACTCGTACGTTGTAGACATGCTCCAAATACTTTCACACCATAATCACTTGTTATTACTTGACCACTTCCGTGCTTGGAAATGTTTACGCCTTGAAAGATAATGTTAATTTAGTGTTGATAATACTGTCGACCGAGTGCAATTTCTTTAATGAGGTATATAGATATCTAAATCTATTATATGAGTATCATATATCGAATTACAATAATTATAACTAATAATTATACCATGGCTTAAATGTCAATAATCGATTCTTTCCTAGAGAAAGCCTGTTCGCAGTTCAGGCATGGAGCAAGTTAATTTTCAGGTTCATATAATTATTTTGACGTAGCACACCCCACACTCCAATCAAAAAATAGGTTTAGTACAACCAAGATATGAGGCCGAACATTCATTGCAAGAGAAGGTCGTACGTCATTATTACCTCACCTTTATATGAGAACGGCAGTGTTACCTCACCACCATTAACTGAAGTTGATCCCCTTTTGAGTTTAATAGTTACATCCCGGAAGATGACTGTTATTGATTTCGTACATGTTACTAGTCCATTTCCACAAGGTTCATTTTCTTGTCTTACTTCAAATGTGTTGTTTACTCTGTCTTTAGCCAGAACATATTCGCATTTACCCATGAAGTCAAAACGTTTTCCATCGAGTGTCCTGTAATGAGGATCTCCATAAGCTACACACGTCGCTTCAGCTACACAAAAATTAAGAAATAGAGAAATCATGAATATTAACATTGTCCCTGAAAGGACTTCCAGGCAGTAGGTCGCTAGCCTATTTTTTAAAAAAATATTTTCTAATTTTTGCTAAAGTTAAACACAGGGGAAATATAAATAATATACTACATAGGCTTTTTCTTCCTTGCATATCCTAAAATAACTGATCGACTGATTGCCTAATACTGACGGTCTGACTGGCCTACCGTGCGTCCTATTGGGAGGGGGGGGGTGCAAGTACAAAACTGACTGAGAATAGGGTGTGGTCTGCAGAATTTGCTAGAGATGATAGGCGCAGCCCTCGTCTATTATAATTGAAATTCGAGATATACGTGGTGTTTTTCAGAGCACATATATCAGTAGTTTTGGTCGCGGAAACGCTCTTGTTCCGCATTATTTTTATATGCTAAAGATATGATTCCCGTCTGGCATCTTACTGTCAAAATTGATCAAATCTACGCAACATTATAATTTACTAGATAAAAAACAAAAACATATTTTACCTAAAAGACAATCAGGTTCTTTATAATCGTCTTTGCAAACACACTTAAAGAGGCCATTCACTTGATCACATCGTTCATTCTCACCACAACTTATAACACTGCAGTTGGTTGCTGGAAATAAATAAATTTATTTATAAAATTTATACAAACCGTACAAAGTTTCCGAACAAAATGCACGTATTTTATTATTTGCTGCATATAAAATTGCCAGTAGCCACCTACGAGAAATAATTTGTGGTATTCTGTAATAATGACGTCATGTATATGAATAATAGTTTCCACAATTTTTTCATGCGAGCAAAGACTGTTTTGAGAAAATAAAATTAGGCGACGTTTGCACACGTTCCTAAACACGATGTCAATTAAGAAACTTTTGGACGTAAAGGATTTTGAAGACACTAAAAATACACTAAAAATATTTAAAACATATTTATATAGGGGAGAAGAAATTAAATGTTTGACACGGCACATTAGCTGAGGTCTTGAAGTTGTTTCACACCTAAGCGAGGTTACTAATAAAATGCCTGTTGAATTCAGCTTCCGTCATAATTTTGGGAATTATGATAATCCTCAACGCCATCTCATTATTATTCGAAGTCTAGCAAACTATTCAGAACATAATGCTGAAATGAGACTCGTTGTCAATAAAATGAAAAGTTAAAATGAACGGTTTGCGCACTTGCAAGCTCTATAACTAATATACCTTCACAATCACGGCCATTTCCTTCAAAACCTTCATCACAATCACACCGGAATGACCCAATATTATTTGAGCAGGTAGCATTTTGGTGGCACGGGTTGTTTACTGAACATTCGTTGATATCTACAAGTGAATGTAAAGTTATGTTTCAGAGATATTTACAAGTGAACAAGTAATTTGGTGCCATATTATTAAAAAGCGTTGCTCAATAAACACTGTCCAAAAGAACAATGGAATACCTTCACAATACGAGCCATTTCCTGAAAAGCCATCGTTGCAGGAACAATTAAAACTACCGAGAGAATTTGCACATGAAGAGTTCACGTGGCAGAAAGTTCCAACACAACATTCATCTTCGTCTACATGATGTGAAAGGAAACATTTTTTATTATAAAACAACGTGTAAACGCGATACTAGTTACAGAAAGTTAGAAAGAATATTTTATGAAAATTTTGTAGGAATCCTAAATCACTATCTGTTACAAAATAGTCACCATCAACAAAAAGTTATAAAGCGTTATAATGCTCGGAGAGTAGCTGTGCTCGGCAAATGTATCTGCGACAATAGACCCGAGTGATTCGTCTTGTCACACCACAGCCAAGACTCTCAGCTACAACAGCGCAAAATAATGATACACGAAATATTTCAGAACAACCAGAAGAAACCACTAGCTATCAATTAGTTTTCCTTGTACATATACAAACTTACCATATGTAATAATAAGGTCGGATATAGCATAATCATAGGTAATGTTTCCTTGCTTTTCAAGCGATGCTTTTAAATATCTATCGATAGAGGTGCTGCCTTTTTTAAGGACATACAAATTAAAAACATCGGTTGCCAACTCGATTTGGTCAGCATATGTGATGTTTAAATACACTGTTTCCTCGTTCATGGAAGTTTTCATAATCTTGTGCACGCCATCTTGGAAATTAGCCCAGTAGATAACATCATCGTATTCATCAACGGAAATCGACTGCGCTGAGCCAAAAACGTTGTCGAACAGTTTCATGGAGCCATCAGCTGGATTGTAACGAATGAATGGAGGATTATTTGCCCGGGCTATGTAGAGATAACTACAAAAAAAGAAAGAGTCAGTTATGAGTTATCCAATTTTTTTGCTTTTTGTTCGCATTTCGACAAAATAAGAAAAAGATTCTGTTTCTGACCAACAATTTGTCAACTGTTGGATTATATCGTTATGTAACGGAGTTCGTGATTTGCGGTTAGGATAGGGTGGCGGTTAGGGACTGGGATCAAAAAGAAAATATTTCGTGCAAGCAACATGACAGCAGTACCAACTGCTGTCATATGAAACTTTAAGGAAGTTTAGGAAGGCGACTTTTACCATAGCTAGCCCAGTATTATCGTAAACTTATAAAAATCACAAAATTAAACACACTAAATTTCTACGCTAAAAAATTTTAGGACCCTATAATGAAGGTCCACTTCCAAACCTATACTGATCAAGGGAGAGAAAACTTCTCATTATTACAGCGGCATAGCATAGACTAGAGGTTTAAAGGGTCTTAACATCGAGCGGAATTGTCCACACTTCAAATTCAAGCCAGGAACAGTTAACTAATGGAAAAAATGGGTCAACTATAGGTCCTCCGGCAGTAATCGAACCAACGCATTTGCGATGCCGGTGCAATGCTCTTGCCACCGCAGAGCTACAGAGGTAGCTGAAAAGAGCGTAAGCGTGGTTAATGTGTATAATGGTAATGCTGGGAATAGGCAAATGACCGGCATCGCAAAAGCGTAGGTTCGATTCCCGCCGGAGGACCAATAGCTGACATGTTTTTCCTTCAACTGTTCCTGGCTTATATATATATATATATATATATATATATATATATATATATATATATATATATATATATATATATATATATATATATATATATATATATAACCTCATCTCAAAAATTCTCTCAATTTTTTTAGAAATCGAATCATTGTTGGCCCTCTCTTTTCCATTTTTTGTGCACAAAAAGAATAATCTCTTATTTAACTTGAATACCATGAGAATTAACGAGAAATCCATGGGACATTACTATTTAGAGCCATTTAGAATAACTGCATTTGCATCAATAAATATAACGCTAACTATATCTACGTCAATTGTATGAACGGTCTATCATCATCTCTACAAAATTAATTTTTTGAAGATATATTATCCTATTATGCCAACAGAAAATATTTACCCGTTAGTCATGTCTATCTCCACATCTTTCACAGATGCCACATCGCTAAGATCATCAACGGCAGTGTTCTGACCATCAGTAATATTGTACATCCAAATTCTTGAATGCAAAGCATGATAATAATATATCACATTTCGTCTTCCATCAACAGTGAAGAAGTCCGCATCTTTGAGTGACATTACGGTGACATCAGATCCATCCAGGTAGTAACTTATTATTTCCTGAGAGATGTAGAGATACAACCGTTTGTTGATACCATCATATGACAATAAGGCGTTTGCTCGATCGTCAACCTTCATTGGGATATTTGTGGAGTTTTCTGTATTATAAGACACCGTTCCCAATGATGTTGAGAAGAATAAATATGGTATTTGGCAACGATCTATAAACAAAGTTTTTTTATTAGTGTATTAGCAAGGTAGAATGCACTAGATCTTATAATTATTGTGTTATAATTAACATTGATCCTACCCTTAATTTCACATCTATCTCCCAGGAATCCTGCAGGACAACTACATTCAAACGACGAGGAATCAACATTTTTACAACTTCCGCCATTATAACACGGAGCACTTGCACATGGGGTACCTGTTGAGACATTAATGGCAAAAATTTAATTCTACACATTTACTTCATTGCTCTAATCTGGCTGCGTAATACGAAAAGTTTATGCCGTGATCACGTAAAAGGGCAAAAACACTTTTCCTTGAGAATTTGAAATAAAAATATATACAGGGTGTACCAAAAAATTGCAAATGCCATAATTTGTATGCGCGAAATCAGACATTAGGACTTCAATGGTTGTGCAATGCAATTACGCTTCATGTATTTGAAAAATACGTTTTCTAGGGTTATCAAAACACGCTTAAACTTATGAGTTTGATTATGAATGGCTCAGTTAAGAACAGAACTAATTTTAATTCACTTTGTGTGGTTATTTTAATAGTACTGCACGTGGAAATGTATTTTTAAATTCCAAAAGCGTAGCTACTTAGTTGCACAGCCATTACAAATCAGTATGGTATTTGCAGTTATTTTATACACTCTGTATCAGGTATTATAATTTATACTAATCCAGGTTCCAATTTAGATGTAAGAAAAATATTGCAGAGAAGAAAACATCGCTATTGTGCTAGTCTTCAGAATATTTGTTACTTACGACAAATTGCATATTCATTTAATTCCATCCACTTTATATTAACATGGGGTGAACAATCATCAGCATAAGCTTCAAGAGCTTGACAATAACAAACAACAGGATCATCTTCACAAGCACACATATCATATTCACAATCTGCAATATATCCTTCTTCAGTTGCATTGATATAACTGGAACAATTACTGAAGGGTGGTTTAAGTAATGCTGAACAATTCTCTCGTGCTATCAATCTTCTCTCTAAATTGGCGTCACATGGGTGGTCCACTGTAGTTGCATTTTCACATGTAGGATCAACTTTCCAAGAATTTCCAAACTCTACTGGATCAGTTACGATTGTTCCGTAAGACGTCCAGAAATCATCATCTTCCATTTCGTTATAATAACCACATAAACCTGATGTTCTGTTCAAGTATCGACCTCGAACAACCACTCTTACGTTGTAGACATTGTTCCAAAATACATTCACACCATAATCACTTATGACCGATGTTCGACGGTTCTCAGTTGTGATGTTGACACCTAAAAACGAAAGAACAAAAAATATAGCTGAAACTTGAAAAAATCGATTCTTTATTGTCATAGCTTGTTTTGATTAAGCTTATACACATCACGGTGTATAAAAAAGTACCCCTTATTAAAATGAAACTTCTGCTGGAATTTGGATGCATGATTATAATATAATGATCATAAAAGCAAAGTAATTACGTTAAGGCATTAAAATTGAGCGTCTCGTTTTACATTTTAAGCATCCTTGAGTTTGGCATAATAATAAAACATTCAAATTCGAAGAAAAGCCTGATTTTAGTGGGGGGGTACTTTTTTATACAACCTCTGCAAGGTGTATAAATAAAAGAGGACCTTTAGAAATCAAATTATTGGTATAATTTAAATGTCAGATCAATTTTCTAAGCCCATGGGTGGACAAACATGCACAATCGAATAAAATCTAACGCAGGCACGAATTAACTTTTTGAATTGCTCATTAATTTCGCATGCACCGGCGTTGCTCCGCCTCCAGGTTGTGCTTCTCAGTTTTTACCGGTGGATTTCAATCAAGAATCTTTCTCAAAACGTGTTTGTACGTACGTATTTTTTACGTCTGGATATACTGTAAGTCTGGACGATAAAAACTCTTTTTTGACCATGCATTATCGTGCAGAATTTTGCTTTTAGAAGTTATGTCAAATTCCCAGGAGCAGAAAGGTTTTTGTGCTTGAAACAAAGATATGTAATATACGCACAAAGCTGACAATATTTTACGCATCCAAGGATACACCCTGTATAGTGGATTGCTCTAGTAAAATATGTAAATGTCGTAGCTATACGATAATTAGCCAATTTATTTCAGGTTTTGGTAATTGGATAAGGAATTTAAAGGAATTCTCCTTTTGGGCGGAAAGGACAGGAGAATTTCCTTTGTAGGTGAGTTCTCATGCGGCGTTTAGACAAAGGAAACTTTCCTGTCCTGTCCGCCCAAAAGGAGAATTTTCTTGAGTGGAAACTAGCCTTAACAATGTTGAAAATGCCACTATAATGAGTATAATGTACACAATAACTTCATGCATGAAACGGCCTAATGCAGCCTTGCATTCACTTCCACAATCTAAATTTTTTATATGTAAGGCACAGATGACTAGATGTGAAACGCGATTCATGGGAACTATTAAACTTTCTTTTCCTCAAATTTTATTAAAGTCGTGTATTCCTGTGAAGTAATTTTGTTCACTTGAAAGAAAATACTTGAGGAGAAAAGACTCAATTTTCTAGAGGAAGTTAAGTAAGCATTCAAGATTGTAGGTTTTACAAAATTCAGGTAATTTTACATGCAGTTATTCTATTACATTAATTATCTATTTAGATACGTCATATCACCTCACCTTTATATGAGAACGGCAGTGTTACCTCACCACCATTAACTGAAGTTGATCCCCTTTTGAGTTTAATAGTTACATCGCGGAAGATGACTGTTATTGATTTCGTACACGTTACTAGTCCATTTCCACAAGGTTCATTTTCTTGTCTTACTTCAAATGTATTGTTTACTCTGTCTTTAGCCAGAACATATTCGCATTTACCCATGAAGTCAAAACGTTTTCCATCGAGTGTGCTGTAATGAGGATCTCCACGAGCTACACACGTCGCTTCGACTAGAAAGATAGAAGAAGAAAACTGTTTTAAAAGAAAAATGCAGAAACTTGAAAAAATGGGGGAGGTGTTGCTCTAAGAAAAATGGGTATTTTTACTAAGCAGATTTAGTTGTGTTACACTTACTTATGTCTTCACAAGTCTCGCCTTTATAGTCTTCATGGCAGACGCATTGGTATGTATCACCTATTTTTTCACAAACTTGATTTTTTGAGCAAGAGAGGTCATTACAGCTCTTCACTAAACAAACATAATGAAAACTGGTATTTTTTAAATATCCTAACGTATTTTCAATCTATTGTTAGTGGGCTGGTTTTCATTGCCAGAGAACAATTCGGGAAGTGTATCTTGCCATGTTCCCGCTAAATTAACACCCAGAAATCACGGGTCGTTTTTTTTGTGTCCCCAAAACTGATCATTGGTGTATTGCCTTACCATTGTTAATCTTCTACTAGAACTTCGAAATGGCTAATACAGAAGGAAACAAATAGATTCGATAGTTTCAGGATTCTTTTCAAAAGATAGGAAGTATCAATAAAACTGCAATACTAGAACACAATTAACACTTATTTACTGCGACCGAAGGAAACATTATGTTTTGTGGACCCGAGACCTGTCGATATTTCACGAGGCGAAGCCGAGTGAAATATCGACGGTCGAGGGTCCACTAAACATAATGTTTTCTGAGGTCGCAGTAAATAAGTTTTTTATTATATACCACTTGTCAAAGAAAAACTAAAGTTTGTCGAGCTCTTTTTTGTTTAATTGTTCAAACGTTGGTGGGATCTTTTTTTCTACACAATATTCTCTGAGGATATTCGTTGCTTGTTTGGTCACTTTCTTCGTTGACTCAGAGTCTTTATTAGCCAGCAAGCTGTCTATTTCGTCGCTAGTATTGCTGGCAAATCTTTCCATTCTAGTTTTTAACAGTTGTCAAAAACAAACGCTGCGAAGGACGAAGGTCAACTTAGCCCAATGTCAACTAAAGGTCAGATGTCCACGAGTGCAGCACGTGATTAAAGTTGTTATTTCCCATGAAATAATGCATTGTTTCCCCCTGCTGGGGGTCGCGCGGGCGACATCAAAATTTCGTCACTCTCACGTAATTCGCTCTCGACCAATGAAACGCTACGAACACCAAACTTTGACAAGTGGTATATAATAATATGAATTTCTTATCAAAATATTCAGCAGCAAATTAAACTAACGAACTTGGATGGCTAGATCTTTTAAAACTTCGACGAATAACTCGCGAATGTTATGAATATAAATGCCCATTTTCGCTTAGGTGCAATTTAGCTGCACTTTGTGGTGGACATAAGGGAGCCATATAAAAGTACCCCTTATTTGTACATCCGGAATCTATTCATACATCCATCAAAGGAAGAAATCGACTAAAAGCGAAACAAAATGCATTCACTATTTACACCGCCCTGCCATTTTCTCAATCTGTTTCAAGATTGAAATCGTGTATGAAATAGTATGGTTATATGCGATATCTTGTCGCTATAATAATTTTGCTTAATGTGTCATTACCTTCGATTTCACAGCGTTGACCAGTAAAACCAGCAGGACAGTCGCATGTGAACGTCCCAGAGGTCTCTGAACAAGTACCATCATTATAACAGGGGAAGCTTGCGCACGGAGAGGCTAGAAAAAATTATTTCGTGAGGCGATATTCCACAAAAAAATAATGTTTCCTTTGGTCATGGTAAATAAGAGTTACACAAAACTATGGGAAGTAACAAGGAGGAATTTCGTTCTCAACCAATACGCATATTATTTGTTTACATTTTTCAGGCAGAGCCAATCAGAATTCCTAACTTTTTAATACTTCATGTAAAATGGCTAATTATGTAACTTTTTATTCGAAGTAGTCAAGATTAATGCATTCTGATTGGCTTACTGAAAATGTAAACAAATATGCTGATTGGTCTAAAACGAGATTCCCCCTTGTTCCGGGGAATCCGAAGCAAAGGGAGATAAGCATGCACTAATCTCATTCATTTATGCAATCTTTGCACCGCAGGCTTCAAAGTGATTGATTTATTTAGGCGCATGTTGGTTATGGCTATGCGCACATGAGCGTCGTTTTCAACCGTTTTAAAAAACGTTTTTGTCTATTAATTTTATTGCTTCGATGTCAAGGAAAGATCAGGTTGATTTATGTCATTCACGATCCAAGAAAAAATATGATCAAATTATCTTCAACTGTAAATTGACTGTGTTTGAGATCGTTTTGGCATGAAAAGGAATGCGAAAACGCTTGAAAACGTTACTGTGTGTACATAGCCTATGTGATAACTTACTGCAACTGGAATTGTACTGGGGCAAAGAGAGCCAGTTGATTTTCTCGCCTTCTGATTCACAATCAGAAACGTAAGCAGCTAAGATTTGACACAAACAGGCATCAGGATTACGATCACCACAGGCACAGACATCAAATTCACAGTCTTTGATGTATCCTTCTTCCGTCGCATTTATTTTGCTTGCACAGGCATTGAAAGGAGAATAAAGCAAAGCTGAACAGTTATCTCGAGCTCTCGCTGCCAACACCGCATCCTTATCACATGGATTAGCATGAACACTAGCATCATCACAGTTCGGGTCAACTTTCCAAGAATTACCAAACGCTACTGGATCAGTTACAATTGAACCATTCCAGGTCATGAAGTCATCTGATGTCATGTCGTTATATGTACCACAGAGACCATCCGTTTGATTTTTATATCTACCCAGGACAGTAACTCTCACGTTCGCAGCGTTGTTCCAGAAAATTTCTAGCCCAATATCAGTTGTTACTAATATATTATTGCCAGAAGGTTTTGAAATAGTTACCCCTAAAAATTATAAAAGAAAATGTTTATCAGTTTACTGTTCCTTTTAAGAAGACTCACTCTTGGAGAGAAATTACATAATAAATTCATATTAATTTGAAATAAGAACAGAAAATATCAATTTAATTATATTATATTACTATGATTGTTTGAAGTGGAAGTAAGGGCCGTCAGATATTCAGACTGAGCATCGTATTTTTTTAAAAAAGATTAAAATATTCAAACAGCTTGTTTATATAATTATACGGACTTGACTTCCGTTTCCAAATGATTTGAACAATTTTATGCAAGAAATGTAGACAGTAAATCTTTGGTAATCTGCATGAGCCGACGGTACCTGGGTTAAGGTTCAAGCGGTCTAGAGGGCCATTAACGCCTGTATTCAAAAAGCTCACCCACAGTATCACTCATTGAGGGTCATGATTATATTATTTTGTTATTACTGATCAATGAGAAGCAGAAGGACTAAAAGTAAAACACTGAAAATCAAGCCTTTATTAGAGTGGCCGTGGAAATAACGTCATAGAACTCGGAAGATAGAGATAGATCTTCCACTTATGAAGTTATATGCGAGCGAGCTTTAATTTTTTTAGAATACAGCGTTCAGTGATACGCAAGGGAAAGGTGGGGCTAAAATTTTAGCATCTGGTCTGAGGGTCATACACGTAGTTTAGTCCGCCCTGTTTTTGAGAGTGTCAGGATTATCTATGTCATTGTTCATCATTTTCCATCGCACAATGTTTTTTTTTGTGTTTTTTTTAATAAGTGCGCCCAATATTTATATGATATAAAGATGATATAATTTTTTATTTACAAATGTGGGCTAGGAGCCTACCATAAACCATATGGCTTTTATTATATTTTAATGTTCGATGGGAAGAAAGCTTAACTTACCTCCATACGTGCCAAGATCTCCTACGCTGTCATTAATCATAATACTACCTCTGGCAAGTTTTATGGTTAACATTGGTAAGGATATAGTAACTGATTTCGTACAAGTCGCAAATCCGTTACAAACTTCATTCTTTTGTCTGATCTCAAAAAGAGGGTTCGTACTCTTGTGTCGGGCCAGTACGTACTCACAATCGCCCATAAAGTCGTACGTTGTTCCATCAAATGTTGAGTAGTGTGGATCACCTCGAGCTTTGCAAGAGGCTTTCACTAAAAGAAAATTTTAAAACTGATTGTAAAGTTGTACTAAAAGAAGCGATAAAATTAACGGTACAGGGCTGCATATGTCAAATTCTTTCAATGATGCAGGCTTATATACTTTATAATATAAATTTTGATTATTCTTACGGAAGTCACAATAACCTAAATGGTTTATGCATTATGCATGCCCAGTGTTTGCATTCTTTACATGGCCAGAAATTTCTGATATAATCAACATTCTACTTCCGAAAAAAAATTTGCACACGGTGTCAAACTGTGGCCGAGTGAGTCTATAGTAAACTGCATAACACAAAGACTTTAAACGCTAAAATTTTACTATTAGTACGTCGGTTGTAATTTGAGTTGATTGCCAGTAGCAGAATAGTTATTCTGAATATTTTGAAGTTGATTTTCAAAATTTTTCATTAGTATTCTTCCTACTTTTCCAAGCTTAAGTTTTATCCATTTATCACGTTGAATACCATATTATAAAACGGGTGTAGAAATGCAGTAAAATAAACCCAAACAAGAAAACATTACCCAAGGAACTTCGATATGCCTTGATTTACAAGAAATAACTAGGGAAATTTGTAAACTCTCCATGCTTTTCTAAAATTTGCCGAATTCGAGAATTCGACATTTGAAGAATATAATTTATAGAGCAGCAAATGACAAATATTTGAAAGAATATCCAAATTATTTTCGTCAATCCTCATATTCCATGTCCGCGATTTCTGGCAATGATTTGTTTTAATTGTGGTTCGTGCTCTGCGTTCGAATAAATTTTACTGTTGTTATCAACGCGAAGAGAAAAGGTTTAAAAACGCGTTATATATACTGCAAAAAATTAATTTGAAAAAGAAAAAAAAAATTTAAAAATATGAAAAGAGATATTCAACTTTGTGAACAAGCGATTAACAAAGATTAAGAGGAGATTTTTTATTATGTCGCGTATTTTGGCGGGAAAACGCTCAAAACCTAAAATCTTTTCGGCGTACCACTCAAAATCCATTTATTTTACCGTCATTCTTTAGATTATGTTGTGAACTAAGTTTTGAACTGTATTTGGTGAATGCAAAACACCAAACAAAGGAGTTATTACAAAATATAATGCGGCGGCTATCAACAATGTTATAATGTCAACACCATTATAACTGAAATGAATACAAAAGAAGCTTCGATTCAAGTGTCATTTTCTTCTCGGCGTATCCCGAGAAATCTTTTCATCTTCACAATATTTTGAGATTACACAGTAAACATACTTTCTGGATGCTTTTCAGGTTTGCAAAACATTATTAATGCTGAAAATTTTAGTGTTGCATGAAGATATAACTGAGGTTTTGAGCATATATTACGCGACATAGAAAAATATCTCCTCTTAATGTAAACATTTGCTTTAACCGGTTTTCGACCTCTTTTTCACTTTCTTTAGAAACTAAAGAAGAAACTTACGAAGTTCGCTGCAATCGGCACCAGTATAATCATCATGACAGACACACTGAAATATCCCGCCCACGTTGTCGCAAACCTGATTCTGTCCGCATTCCAGAACACTGCAGTTGGTTGCTGAAATTAAAAATAAATGCATGAGAGACTGTATGAGGATCTGTTATTTATACCTTAATTATTTTTAAAAAAGACAGGTAAACAATCATGATAACAGGTCTCGAACAAAACGTCGTAATCTCGTCATGCTAACAGCCTTTTCAGCTTGTATGCAAATCAAATCACACGGTATGAAATGGTTAAGTTTTATTAGCTTTTCCTTGATCACAACATCTGAAATGGTTAATTTGCAAGCAAGCTGAAATGGTCTATTGCCTGTCTCAGACGTCAAACTTTTTATGTGCCGAATCGAGTAGACTATAGCTCAAATAGACTTTAGCTCAATAACATGAGGTTCGGCACAAGAAAAGTTCTACGTCTGAAATGGGCCTAAGCAAATGCATGACCAGGGAAGATATAAAACAGAAGAGAAAATTATGATTCCACAATTAATCAACATAATACACCTTTTTGGAGTTTTTTGACAAATACCTGCACAATCTACGCCACTGCCAGTGAAGCCTGGATTGCAATCACATTTAAAAGATCCAGGATTGTTTTGACAAGTAGCGTTCGGATGACAACGTTCTTCAGCGCATTCGTCGATATCTGAGGAAGAAAACATTACGATATAATTGGATTTTGTTTTCTCAAAACATTTAGAGAGTGATTACATTGCATGGACAAAATGGATTTCTCTTCTGTTTCGTTTTGAGGCATATGCATTTTGATAAAATATGAATACCTTTACAAAATGTTCCATTTCCAGAATATCCATTGTTACAGGTGCAAGTGAAGTTAGCAACGGAATTGACACAGGTGGACTGCTCATGACAGAATGTGCCAATACAACATTCATCTTGATCTATATCAAGACAGAATACGCAAGTTTCGACATTTCACTAACGCTATAATATGATTTTTGTTCAATATTCATGATTTTTGTCCAACTTTGTTCAATATTCATAGCTGTATTCAGCTTCAAAATAAACATCTTACCAAATGCAACATCGATTCCTTTCGTTCCAATAGGAACAGTAATGTTTCCCATACGTTCCAGTGTGCTTTTCTTATATTTGTAGACCATTACATCAGAAACAAAAAGAACAAAAAGGTAGAGTTCATCATGAGCTATTTCAATCGTGGAATCAAAAGTGATATTTAAATCATTTGTGTAACCACCGTAGGAGGTGCTCATGACTCTTTGTTTCCCTGTATCAGCATCAAAGTTTACCCAATAGACCAGTTCGTTATCGCCATCAACAGACAAATCCTGAGGGAAATTGCCGACTACTTTGAGTACATTCAGATCTTTTGTGTCAACGTTATATCGGACTATATTTTCACCACTTGCTGCCGCGATTACCAAAAAGCTAAAAAACGTGCAATGAAAAATGTTAGAAAAAAGTTTCACAATAAGGAATTGACTTAAAGAACATTCCACAAACATTTTCATCACTAGATGGTCTTAATAGTGACATTATTCTTCAACTGAGATGACGCATTCGCTATATAAAGATATTTTCCATTTTGACCAGGTCTCAGTCGCACTGCATGACATCAAATTAACGGTTAGGGAGATATTTATGATTTATACACGGTCTCTATACCAGTGACCGCGGAAGATATCTTCATGTTCGCAGGCCGTAAAAACAAACAATTTAAATAGAAACTAATAATGCTGAACGTGAATATAGTACGAACTATTCGCCTGTTTAATTTCGGATTTTTTCGATTTCAGTAGTAATTTAGTAATTCAATTTAGTTTTTATTACATATACCGTGTATCTATAACTGAACGGTTCAATGTTATCTATTTGTTAAATAATATACACTTATTGTATGCTCCCGAGGGAAATGGTGAGTTTTGTTTTTCCAAGAGTCTGAATGTTTCCCGAGACGAAGTCAAGGACGTGCTTACAAACAATATTTTTACTGAATGTCGAAATGTCATTTTTTGTAAATCTTTATGGTTACATTTGCTCCGGCAAAAGCAGAGTTGAAATCGGCCGCGGAGATTGCGTTGCTAAATGCAATAATTATAAGGCACAGCATTTTTTGTTGACTTCCCAGTGTTTTCTGAATCCTTCTTTTATCAAAAGTTGAATTTCATCGCTTGAGAAGAAGCGTTGAGAAACGTTGTTTTTTAGTTTTCGGATCCATAGCTGTTTTATTTGTTATGACAAGAAGAGGGCAACAATTTTTCACTTGTTTTCCTGGCGGGAAACATTGCATTTATTTAAAGTAATGTGACTCCGAATGAACAAATCACAAATACACAGCACATAATTATATAAAAATATGTGGATAATCGCGTAATTTTTATATGCGTTATTATCGTTTTTCATGCACCACGGAGGATTCGCAAATAAAACACTGCAACACTGTAAAGTTCAAAGTACTAAAAAAACTTATTCAATTTACCCATTTTTGCTGTCCATATCCACGTCTTTAACACTGGTAACACTTTTCAAATCACTAACTTCAACGTTTTCCGAATCCGTCAAATTAAACATATAAACTGTGTCAGTTGATTCGTGAACGTAATAGATGATATTATTTCTTCCATCGACTGTGAATCTGGTAACCTGCCTCACTTCACCTAAATTTTTTAGGTCCGAACCATCTAGTTCCATGCTATAGAAGTTGTTTGAATTGTAGTAAAACAATCGTCGAGACACGGGATCATAATCCAAATCTTGCGCTCCTACGGTACTAATACGTCTTAATGTTGTCACGTTATCCAAAGTTACTTCGTAGTTTATTTCATTGTCGCCATAGGCTATGCGGGCAGGAATATCGCAAACATCTAAAAAATGAACAATTATTTTAAAAAAAATTAACACTGTTATTAGGTATCTACAATTAAGCCATAGGCATCGATGTGCAAAATTTCCGGTGCTTGATATGCAAAAAAAAATATTCATAATTGGCTTTGCCTCGATAACTTCGCTGCAAATTTCGTACTGTATTTCGTTACAAAATATCCACAACAGAACATCAGATTTCCAATTCGATGTGCTCCAATTTTTTGAATCACTCCCTAACCGTTCTTTTGCATTCATTAATTAGATTTTTAAACAAAAAAAAAAGAAAAAAAGAATAGGCAAAATATGGACTGACCTTTTATATCACAACGATCACCCACATATCCATCACGACATTGGCAGGTGTAGCTGGTGGCACCCTCGTCAACACAAGTTGCACCATTGAAACATGGAGAGCTTGCACATGGAGTACCTAAACACAGAATATTCAGAGAAAATAGTCCATGTGGGTAATAGAAAAAAATATATTATTATTGTTATTATACATCAATCTAATCGAGGTAATCCCCAGATATTCGATACGCGCAACAGCCATAAACTATGGTTCTGAAAATCGTTGTTTTATGTAGCAAAGTTACAGTATAGTTATTTATATAACATTAAAATTTAATAAAATATACATTTAACGAGAAAAATCAGGAAATCATTACTTAGTTATCATTAAATATTAGTGCTTTTCCAGTTGCTGTCAAGTCAACAAACTATATATTAAATAATACTTGCAAACAACAACTCAACAAACTATATATTAAACTATACTATTATAATAGTGAATAGTCCAAAGTGAAGATGAAATTGGCACGTACAACCCAAAAACTATTCGCTGGCGAGAAGATTATAGATCACATCACAGAGATAATATTCATGGCGTGATTGCACATGGAAGTATTTTTGCCAAAAAGCCATATTTGCCTGAATGATTTGGATTATTTGCATTGGGGGCTATCGACATACACCACATATCTAAAAACCTAAAACAAACTTTAAGACCACCTTTTTTGTCGCGTAGCAGATTTAAATGTTTAATAAGCAACAATTAAGGGGGAATTTCGTTTTGGACCAATCAGCATATTTGTTTACATTTTCAGTAAGCCAATCAGAATGCATAAATCTTGACTACTTACTTCCGGTATCAAATATTTAGGATTCTGATTGGCTCTGCCTGAAAACATGTAAACAAAGATGCATATTTGTTCAAAAAGAAATTCCCCCTTTTTACATTGCTTAGTTACGCGGCATTAGGGGAGCCAAAATTTAAAATTAGACTTCCAAAATTTGATCACTTACTGCATCGAGGGAAATCATTTTTCCAGTCAAAAGTCACCATCTCAGCGGCACACGCGGCAGCGTAGGAATCAAAAATTTGACAGAGACACGCGGCAGGGTTGTTTTCACAAGCACACATATCATATTCACAATCTGCGATGAAATACTGTTCTGTTGCGTTGATTGTTTCATTACACGCCCAAAATGGTGCCTTTAAGAGAGCTGAACAATCCCGTCGGGCAATTTCAGTACGATTGGGGTTTGTAATGCAGGGATGTTCAACTGTTGGCGCGTCAGCGCAAGCCGGATCCGTCTTCCACGAGTTACCAAATGCTGTCACGTTTCCTGCTGTCATATTACCGGATGTGAGGAAGTCATCGGAACTATCATCATTGAAAGTTCCACATAGACCAACAACCTTCTCCCGATATCGACCATACACCAGAATTTCAACATTAAATACATTGTTCCAAATGATTTTTATTGCGCCGTTCGTTACGCTGACTCGTGTCGCAGACCCTTCCTTGTAAATACTCATCATTGCATCTTGATAAAGAGCGAAATATTTTCATTTGGTGTGACATTTTTTGAAAATATACAATGTATTTTGCATTTAAACATTCCATTTCGTGACCTAGAATCAGTTTATTTATAAATTAAGGCCTGAAATTTGGAAAAAACGGTTGAAAGAATTGGAACTGATTTTCGATGATAAGGCTGAAAAAAAAGACATTTTTTACCTGTGTAATTCATAGGCGGGGTTATAGTTGCACCATTCACTTTTACACGGTTCCTTTCAAGGACAACAACATAATTAGGAATAGTGAGAGATATCGATTTAGTGCAGGCAACCAATCCACTGCCACAAGGCTCATTCACTTGTCGAATTTCGAAGGTGTTGTTTACAGAGTCTTTTGCCAAGGTATATTCACATGTGCCCATGAAGTCGTAGTGTGTGCCATCAAATGTCGTGTAATGTGGATCACCTCTGGCATAACATTTCCCCACGACTATAAAATAGAGACATGAAATCTAAACTAATTTCCAAAACAAAGTACTTAAAAAGTATGAAAAACACAGCCGCAACTTTTTCAAAGCAAACATAAATGAGAAACGAAGGAGCAAAGAAGAATATGAAATCTAAACTAATTTCCAAACAAAGTACTTAAAAAATATGAAAAACACAGCCGCAACTTTTTCAAAGCAAACATAAATGAGAAACGAAGGAGCAAAGAAGAATATCAAATCTAAACTATAGTTTCCAAACAAAGTACTTAAAAAATATGAAAAACACAGCCGCAACTATTTCAAAGCAAACATAAATGAGAAAAGAAAGAGCAAAGAAGAATATGCAGTTAACTTACTAAGTTCATCACAATTTTCCCCCTTATAATCTGGACTGCAAACACACTGATATATCCCATTTATTGACACGCACATTTCAGTTGAACCACAATTTAACACATCACAGTCGATTGCTAAAAAAAAGGGAGCGAAATGTTTTAGTACTGTAGGTAGGAAGCCCCGGAATTGAAATTTAAGTGCAATTTGATATTTCAGCGAAAGAGCCGAGCACGAGGAAACAACATCGTCCAGCCTCCACAAGGAAGCCGTCATGTGTATCTCTTCGTTTGCCTTTCTACATGTATGAAGTGAATACTGTGGTTTAAACGTGATATACAGGGTGTCCAAAAAAAAGTCCCTCCTACGGACGACTTGCGCTTTAGACTATATTTTGATCGAAGTAACAAGAGGATAATAAATCATCACAGGAAGAAAGATCTTACTTAAATTAGTGTAAATGAAAAGTTTGGCTGCAAATTTTGTAAAATACAGAAAACATAGCCAGAGGCATGCGAAGTTGACGAATTTTGTACAGTTTTTTATTACGTGCGGAAATGTGTAACTAAATTAGTTACATGCACTTCTGGCCGTAATACAAAAGTTAAGTATACAAAATTCCACAACTTCGCGTGGCTATATTTTCCGTATTTTACAACAATTCGTAGACAAACTTGACAGTTTTATTAATTTTAGTAAGCTCTCTAAGAAAATGTCCTTTTTATTGCCGAGGTAAGAAATTAGTCTAAAGCGCAAATCGTCCATTGAAATGAAGCTTTTGTTGGAATTTGAATGCATGATCAACGCAGTAGTGTGTAAAATTAATAGCAAAGTTATTAGGTTGCTTTCAATTGTGTTTCTATAAGGCAATAGGATTCTAACAAAAGCCTTGATTTCAATAGAGGGGACATATTTTGGGACACCCTGTACATTTAGGGGCTGATTACATGAGCCCTCTTACCCGAGATTCAACGAAGCGTGAGATGACTTTGAGGTATTGAAATAAGTCTTCATGATACCAAACAAGCACATGCTATTGTTGTGGTGATTATACGACTGCCAGGATCATGTTATTTGCTTATTTCAATACCTCAAATTCATCTCACGCTTCGTTGAATCTCGGGTAACCGGGCTCATGTAAACAGCCCCTTAGACAAAAATAGTGTTAGTAAAGTTACAATGTATAGAAAATCGTGACAAAGCCAGTAGGCAATTTCAACTTTGATTTGCATGACAAAAAAATCTTTTGTTTTTATGTAACGTCATAGATTTAATTGGGAGCAACTTGAAATCGAGCCACAATGATCGCAAAGATTGAGTTGTTTTCCGCCTCAATGGCATTTGTGATACGCAGAAACGTGCGCCATCTTTTGTGTATTTAGTAACTCCTGTGCAATAAAAGGCTAAAAAACTAAACTAGAAAAAAAATACTTACCCATACAGTCCTGTCCATCACCGCTGAAACCTGGCTTACACATGCACGTATAATTTCCAGGAATGTTGACGCAATCGGCATCAGCATGACAAGGGTATGTCGCATTATGACATTCGTTAGTGTCTGTACAGAAATAAAATTAATGTTAATAATATGATAAATAGATCCATATCGGAAATCTTTTGATAAATAAACGGCAAGTATAAAATTACTAACCATTACAATAGGTTCCATTGCCAGTAAACCCATCTTTACAAGTGCAAGTAAAATTCCCAATACCGTTCTTACATGTGGCATTGGCATGGCAAGGCGATGTGTCCTCTTTACATTCGTCAACATCTACGGCATACGAAATCTTAATTAATATTATACTCTCAACAATAACGTGCCAAAGTAAAACCTTTATACAACACTTCAAAACCTGCCATGGTAAGGATAGTACTTAAATTCACGAAAACAAATAAAAGGAACTTAGGGACTTAAAAATTCCTTCTAAATAGGTTCTGGTGAAAGCTCTCGCGCTAGCATCGAAGTAAGATTGAAATGTTTAGGGGCCGTTACACTGTAATAATCCGTTACACTCCAACAAGCCTAGTAGAGCCCGTGCTAGCCCATGGAGTAGTGAACCTTTATTTCTTGCCTAACGAGCGTTTTTTTTTCACTGCATTTTAAGTGCTGCTTCACATCGCGTGGCAGCTTTTGTAACAATTAAATCCGCCTTTTCTCCGGTAGTGTGTCCTTATACTCCCTTTCCCAAGCATCTCTTTCCATGTTCCGTTTTAAAGTAAGGATTTCGTTTCATCTCAATATGATTGATGTGATTGTCTGGATATGTATGTATTGATTGTTGATTGTATGTGACTAATCAAATTTCTCACCTTTACAAACTGTCCCATTCCCGCTGTAACCAGAATTACACGTACAGTTGAAGGAATTGTCATCATTTGCTGTACACGCAGCATTTGAGTCACAATTGTCGTAGTCGCAGGGGTTAAATACTGTAAAAATGAATGAGTACGATGATACATCTTTCAGACATTTCACAGGTTCAACAAACAATATACTTGCTATAACCATATACTTGCTATAAGGCAATATACACAATATACTTGCTATAAGGCAACATCTTACAACTTTGTTAAATGATAATGCAACTTCGTTGAATTTTTCTTTGTTTGAAGTCAGGGAAAATTTAGATTCTTTAAACTTGTTCACCCGTAAGCAGACCAGTGAATACGGTTACGTCATACACTCTGGAGTCATGCACATGCAGTGTACCGCCATAATATACTAGCTGTAAAATAGTCCTTCGTTCAGAATTATAATAGTCTTACCAATGCACGTGTCTTTACCATCTCCAGATAAACCGGGATTACAGGTGCAAGTATAAGATCCAAGATTGTTATCACACGTGGCATTAGTGTGACATATAGTTGTATTTTCACATTCGTTGATATCTGAAAACATATTTAAGAACCCGGACCCGGTTATCATTAACAATGTCAAAAAATAGTTTGAACTATATGATATGTTCAATCACGAACCTTCACAATACGTATCATTTCCTCTGAATCCGGTCTTGCATTTGCATTGATAACTTTGGGGCACATTTGTACACGTGGCATACATGTGACAATAACCACCAAGGCAGCACTCATCCACATCTTAAATACAAACGAAAACGAATGTTAACTTAAGTTTCCATCAGTTCAGGTTTGGTAAAAATCGATGGTTTTTTACACAAGATTAATTTTTTATTCCATAATACAACGTAGCCGTATTTCTCTTACCAGCGGCAACTGCAATGGCAGCTGTGTCAGATCTCACATCGTACGTCACCAAGACTTCTTCACTTTCCTTATTAATTACATCCAACTTCGAAGTGCTTGGATTAAGAACGTACAAATATCGTTCACCTTGTGCAAGTTTGAGGTGAGTTGATGATCCAGGAAAGCTTTTCAATACGACTGTTGTTCCGTTATAGTACGACTTTCTTATTTCATAAGCAGCAGTGTTAGAAACAAAGTTTGTCCAATAGACAACTTGCTTCCGCCCATCCACGCTAACGTCTTCGGGGAAACCCAGTTTGGGATGAATTTGCGATGCGGTTTTTGAAGTCAAATTATATTGAGCAATATCGCCATTGTTGTCGGATTTTGAAAAGAACAGAAGGCTATATCGCAAAGAAGAAGAGAGATATTCAGGTGTAGATAATAAACAAATAACAACAAATAGAATTGATATTTAGTGAGCGCGAAAGCAATAATTGTATTAGTGTCATGTAGTGCTGGCTTGTAACTTTCGAACTTTACGCAGAAATTAAATTGCTCCGTCCTTTTAGAGCGTAACTATATTTTTACGATGCCACACGTACTAAATCTGCCCGCTCATGTTGAAAGGGAAAAATAAATTTAAAAATTACCGGGAAGAGGTATCAATATCAAGATCTTTTAAAACACCATCATTCGCGATCAACACTTCAATATTTAAGCTGTTTGACATCGGAAATCCTGATATACTGTTGTCCACCGTGCTTATGTAATAAATAGCGCGTGAGTCATAATCAATCGTGAATGCATTCATTCGGATATTAGATGATATCTTAGTTTTATTCGACCCATCTAATTTCATGGTATATAATGTAAAATCCTCATCCGTGTAATACAGCATTCTCTTGGTTAATGCGTCATATTCCAGTTTCGCATTTGTAGCTGATGTCAAGGTATTGGTTTCTGATCCACCATTACTAACGATATAAATTTCAGTCGTCGTTGCTAAATAAATCCCGTCGATATAACACTTCAAATCTGAAAAGAAATTCAAATACACACCGCGTGAAAACAGTAAACAGTTTAAAATTAGTTACCAAAATTAATGCAGATTCATTTATCGGATAAGTTTCAGTTGTTAAACAAGAACTATAATTGGTTAAAAACTTTTTGGGTATTTTTTCCATTCAAATGGAATTTATTACCAAGTGATGCATCTCAGACAAGCAATTTACAGAGCAAACAGTGATGAAATCTGAACTATACAGGGTGACTCGAATACCACGCTTTTAAATCTGCTATATAAAAAAGATTGTTCACAAACAAGTCACTATATGAATGACTCTCCGTACTCAGGATTTTGTCCAAGCTCTTCTGCATGCTAAGCCCCGTTTTAGCAAGCAAGATTAAGTGTTTGTAACGAAACGGACAAAGCCCTGGGTGTCTGAAAAAATGGTTTGTTATTTCAACAACTTAATTGACGATAGAAGTCCTAAATTGCTAATACTAAGAGAAATTCGCGGTCATAATTTCAACGGCCTGACATCCTAGACCATTCTATTGCAATTAGCATGCAAAATTATTATGTTTGAGATCTCATACATCGATTAATAATAAAGTTCTCATGCATACCGCACCTTCGCATATAGTTCCATTCCCTGAGAAGCCGGGGTCACAAGCGCAAGAATATGACCCAATGTTATTGGTACACGTAGCATTCCGGTGGCAAACAGCGTCAGTTGTGTTGCATTCGTTGATGTCTAAATGAGGACATCCACAATATTAAGAGAGTTATAGTGCGGTCTATATTGTTAGATTTGAAGTGTATTTCTGTTGCATGTCTCGCATGCATAATTAAATATAGGTGTCGTGTGCATGTCATAGATTGTTAAACAGTTAAAGTATTTGCCACTATCGACGTGATATGCATGGTAAATATCTCAATTTAAAAGCCGCCAATAACGCATTGAGAAATGATACGAAATAATACATAAAAACTTTTTTAAGGAGTCATAGATAATACCATTATTTCTGTATTATTGACTAGTTTTCAGCCCCGGCAAAGTTTTAAAATTTGAGATTATATTTTCTTGTGTTAATTTCCCCATACTTGGCTTTTCGCTTTTTTTTTTTGTAAACTTTAATCAATCATTATACTTCATTATCTCTTGCTTCTTCAAGCTTGTCAAGGGCACGTATGGCCGGTATAGGAGGTTATCGTCCCACTCTTACCTCACAAATGAGAGCCTAAAACTCAATTCCAATATTGTTGCGAAAAAATCGTCTATAATGATCCCTACAAATGACTCAATTTTTTCTATCAACCTCATCTAAATGTGCTTAGTGATAAACTAACCTATGCAATGTGTGCCATTGTAATTGTAGCCAGGTCTGCAATCGCAACGATATCTGCCGTCCTCGTTGACACAAAACGATTCATCAGAACAAAGGTTAGCACCTGTTGCGTTGCACTCGTTAATATCTGGAAGAAAAAACGCGATTGTTTATTTTAAAGCATGCATCTGTATTGACAAAGTATATTGACAAATGAAAATTTAGTCTATTATACACATATAAATAACTGTTAAATTAAATCAGGTTTTCCAAAAATTTTAAAATTTTCAAAAAAAAAAGCATGCACATCTTGTATACCTCATACAAATAAGAATGATAAATATGCTAATCAGTTACAAACACGAGTGGTCGTATTTTTTCCGACAGAACAACTAGTGTTTGTATATTATTTGCATATTCATTACAAATTCATTTCACAAGTTGCGGCCGAGTTGGATTGAACATATCGTATAACGCTCGTATTTTAACCATAGTACATAAAACCACCAAACACTGTGAACGATATGGCCATGCATCATTATAGGTTGATTAACATTGGGCAAGAAAATGTTCACGCGAGGCACCATCATGGACGGTACAAAAAAAAATCCAAATTCAAAACATTCAGATCAGCCTATCAGCAGCTTTTCGGAAATATACATATTCCAGTAAATATTCCTAGAATTTATGCTGTTTTTTCTGACCGTTATAACAGAGCAATTGGAGAAAATTGTAACCATGTGAATTACCATTGCAACTTTATGTGGAGCCTAATATGAATCTGAAATTGGCTAATTACCCTCGCAGATGGTTCCATTTCCAGTATAACCAGACATACATTCACATGAGAATCCAGCAAGATAATTCCTACATTCTGCTTTCGGATCACAAGGAGATGGACTTTCATTACATTCGTTAAGGTCTATATATCACAAAATAAATTTGAGGAAAATAAAGGTAAACTACGGAACAAATAATCACAGTTAACCACAGCAGTTAAATATGACTTACTGAGAGATATTGCAGTCAAGATATAGTATTGCATCGTGATACATTATTACGTATCGTTATACAACTGATATAGGTGCAGTTCTCGTAAATGGATATTTATGTAAAAAGTACATAACGAACTTCCTGAGCGCGGATCTAAAATGTTTAGTATTTATAAAAGCGACCAAAACAATTTACGAAATAACAGTGAGCTTAAGCAAGTGACGTTTTTGACGTAAGTTTTTTGTTTTCAACCAATCACAATCCTTGACCCAGTTTTTTTGACGTTGTAATCGTGCCGTTTGTGTCGTCAAAAACGTCTCCTAGTTAAGCTCAGTAATAGTATTGATTATGCACTCCCAAAACCAACAATTAATTTTATGAAACAAAGTTACTCAGCGGAAAAACTTTAAAATAATCTTCCAAAATATGAAAAAAAATCGCTTTGGTTGTCTGAGCAATTCTTTCAAACAGAAAATAATAATAGCGATCACGTATGTGACAGGTCAATCGAAGAAGCTTCTTTCCTCCTTTTTTTTTGAAAAGCGATCTTAGCCGATCACATACCATTAGTTCCAATAATATCTGCAGCTCCACTAAAAACTGTGATGTTTTGAACAACAGTATCAGTGGCTTTATCGTATTTACGAATGATTGACTGAGGTGAATCAAGAACGTAGTAATAATTCCCAATCTGGGTAATCGCTGGTTTTCCAGATCTTCCAAACGAACTGGTTATAACTGTAGTATTACCACTGTAATCAGTTTTTCTTAAGATGAAACTTTCACCATCAGCGTTATAGCTTATCCAGTAAATGATCTCATTCAATCTATCGATTGTTAGCCTAATTGATGAACTGTTTGCGTTGTATAATGTCCTTAGCACTCCACTGCTAATATTGTAAACAACTAGATCTCTTTGCACAGAATTATCAGCAGCAAAGAATAACAACCTGGAACAGAAAGTCAGGTAATGAATAAGTTTCCCAGGGCAACTCTGCTGTACACATGTACTCGGGGATATTAAAAAACTATCAACTCCCTGGTTACTGCATGTGATTGTCATTCGCATTTATATATATATATACACTTTGCAATGAGAACGAACTTGTACGTTTTTTTCCCATCACACACGGTGGAAATAAAACGAGAACGACTATAGTATACACATAAATTCTCCATTTAACGAGAGCGTGCTGCAATGCGTTTAAGTCAACTACCGTCGTGCATTGCGCGCTTTTCGTGACGTATTTTTTTCAAATTTTACTGAAACAAAATTAACTGAAAAATCAAATAACAATATTTATCTTTGTCATACACAATATTCCGACACCGCAGAAATTGGTGTTTAAGACGTTTCAACCCGAAAATCTAATCGCTGGTTCACAATTGTGCATTTCTGTATCGCCCTATCAAAGAGAAACCTTTTGAATATCTTAAAAAAGTTCAATTTTTCTTCTGAATACGCATTCTGCAATCTTTTGACAGCTCATCATACACATCTGACCGCTGTGAAATGGCCATTTTGAGGCTTAAAGTATACACAAGGTTATTAATTCAGACGATTCGTTTTTACCGTGAGCAAGCTTCAAATCTTTTGTGCAAGACATATTTTCTTGAATATTTATAAATCTTTTTCCTCACCAAGTTTGAAGTCTAAGTATCGAGAATTGCGGCTAAGCCTATACCAATTTCCGCGGTGTCCAATATTCCTAGTGTTTCACGAGGCTTGTGACCCAGGGATATTGTTAGGGGTTTACTTTTCTTCCAATAGGGGGTTTAGAGAAATCGCACCAATATACATAGGATAATGTGGGTTCAAATTGCATTCGAGACCATGAAGTTTTTCGTTATTCTCTTTGCCGTGTCTGATTATGAATTTAATATTTCAAATTCCAGAAACTTTTGTTCTTGCAATAAAAACATAGTAAAACAATACCTTTCATAAATAAAATATTAATATATTCTCCCCTATATCTAGTTTGTCAATGTGTTATTGCAGAAAGACAACGTGCTTGTCTATCTTTTCACACCTACTCGTGTCCATGATGATACTTACTGTCTCAAAGGGTCCACCTGGATATCAGTGAGATCATCATGGCCAGCACCAAGCACGATTTTGGAGTCTGATCCGTTAAAGTTTGCTGAGTTAGTATAATCAGTTGCAGAGTTGATATAATAAATCTTTTGCTGAATGTCATCCACACTGAATCTTTTGATGCGTATAACATCAAGTAACAAACGACTATCGGAGCCATCCAGTTTCATCGAGCGCAAGTTTGCGGTTGTTTGTTCGAAGACAAAAAGTCGTCTTGTTGTAGCATCGTAACCTAACTTTGCGTTAGATACTGTGCGAATAACTGTACTTTCCCCACCACCTGATGGTACGTACATTACGTGGGTTGCATTCGCGTATAATATATACTCTGGATCTAAAGGTAGAAAAATGAAGTAATGAAACAACGAAAAAATAAACACACTACAAAAACTGCCACGAAGAAACAAGTAAATAAAAAAGGTAAGCAATAAAGAGAAGTGTCAAACAACGCAACAAAATAGACAAGCAAATAAACAAGATAAGCAACAAATAAAAGTGACAAGCCATACAAAAAAGAAACAAGTGAATAAACAAGATAAAACAACAAATAAAAGTGACAAGCCATGCAAAAAAGAAACAAGTGAATATAAACAAGATAAACAACAAATATAAGCGAAAAGTCATGCAAAAAAGAAACAAGTGAATAAACAAGATTAACAACAAATAAAAGTGACAAGCCATATAAAAAAGAAACAAGTGAATAAACAAGATAAACAACAAATAAAAGTGACAAGCCATATAAAAAAGAAACAAGTGAATAAACAAGATAAACAACAAATAAAAGTGACAAGCCATACAAAAAAAGTATAAACAAGTGAATAAACAAGGTAAGCAATAAATAAAAGTGTCAAACAACACCACGAAAGATGCAAGTGTAAACAAGATAAGCAAGAAACAAGTCTAGTCTCCTACTGAAATAAGAAAGAAAATAATGAAGCCACAAGGAGACCAACCGCCAAATAAACCAACAGGGAAAGAATAAACAAGAAAATGAAATAAAATGAAAAGAAACAAACAAGCCGAACCAAAAACAAAATAAACAAACTTAAAATAGAAATAGCAAAAAGGAAACTAGCAGAACAAAAAGTAAAAACGCCAACAAAGCCCACTCAACCAATTCAGCTCTCTTAATATCATGTTTTTAATCATTGTGGTGCAAACTAGAGGTTCCTCGAGGAAAAACACAAAATAATTATTAGAGCAAGACAACAGCTCTTTCTATAATGAAAATATAAGCGTTTTACCTGCAGCTCTGCTCTGAGTAACGAGCGCAGCTATCACCAGAATTGTTAAAATCGACATCTAAAAAATGAAGAATGAGACAATTATAAGACAATTATGACAACAGAGCTTAAAATCTCCGTTTCTCAAGGTATGACACAAAAAGTTGACGTTATCTACATTATTACGAATCAAAGGTCCTGAAGGCCGCCACATCGATAAGACCAAATTATAGACCCACTGCACTGACGTCAAAATCCTTAAAAGTGGCCATCCAGATGCCTTCGTGCCTAAAAGCGCCGGTTTACATGATCGCGCGCCTAAGTTAAATGACTTATGAGGTATTGAAATGAGTATAGCTGTAGTATGATGGTAAATGATAATAAAAGAATGTTCGAAGTTTGAATTGTAGTGGAATATGAACATTGCACTAATTCGCAAGTGTATAGGTTTTTGTTATTTACTGTACATTTCCACGCAGGCCATCATTTGTAGACTTTATGATAGAGTGGATCACTGTAACATAACATTACTGTCTACATAAACATACTGAATCGCACTATAAATTGTTTTTTCGTCGTGTCATGCAATAAAGAATGAATACGATTAAAATACTTTAAAAAAGAGCTTGCATAAAAAAATTAAAGTTATTTGGTGTAGTCCAACCCGATTTCAAGTTGTTAGTGGCCTGATTTGCAGGCTAGCAATGAGCCCATGCAAAGATGGTTGCTTGATTACAATTGTTTAACTGCCTCGCACTGAAGTAAGTAATCACAAAAATAAGTTATGTAAAGTCGTAGACGCCATTATTGCGGACTTCGAGCATAATATACGTCAAAAATGGATACCGTAATTATGCGTTGTGTTTAAGCGAGCAGCAATAAAGAAATACCTCTGTATGATAAATGTTTAATCAAGCAACGAATTTATGCTAAATTGGATTGTTCAACAGGGCTAATTAGGGTCATTTATCAAAAACTTAATGTAAAAATAGCATTCCAAAGTTCAATACCGCATTCTTCTGATGCATGACATTTTACTAAATTGGAAGGTGTATGACTGGAAAAAGTAATTCAAAATCTAACCAACATCAAATCCAAAACGACAATATTTTGATGCTCTAGAAGAGTTCAGAGATTAGTTTGCAACAAGATTAAGGAGAAATAGATAAAAATATATAAATACACTTATAAAACCATCATAGCTTGCTTATAAAATGTTTCTTGTTCTAGGTTTAAAAAAAATTAATTAGTTTATTTTGTTTGGCTGATATACTTAAAAATGTCCGCATCGTCTACGTTGATGTTCAAACATTACGGTTATATGATTACAGTGAGATCGCGATTTTAAAAGAAAAAATATATATATCAAAACATTAGGGCGGAATGGGCTGGACATTTCGACTTGAATATGCATGACAACGGAAAAAAAGCTCGATCGGAGCTGTAAGTTCTTGCTATATTGCATTTGTGGAGTATGTATTCTCCTCATCTACTGAAACTAAAGTTGCGTAACGACTACAGAGGCCTCGTACACTTTATCTAACTTTAAATGGACTTACTTACGAAAATGCAAAAATAGTTTTACATAATTATACTGTCTGTCCGATTATAGCAGCGTGGTATTTTCATGCTGCTTTTAAGAAAAGGATTGGAATGCTTTTCGCTTTTGAAATGTTAAATACAACTAATTGCATCGGGGTAGTTCTGCAACAAAGTTATAAAATTCAGAGCCAGCTCAAGAAGTAGGCTGGAAATGAAAAAAAAATCCTGTAGCTAAAGCTTGACCAACAGTTAAGCAAAATTATAGATCTTTAAACGGTAAATATAATTAACGTTTTAACTGTGTCAATACAGAAAATATTTAACCCATTTCATGCTATATTTTCCATGATGCTTTAAAGAAAGAAAATATTCGCTAAAGATATTTTGATTGTTCTAGTAAATTAAATTTAGATCTTTAAAAACTCATTAATCTCAAACTACATTGGCTTAAGAGTGTATAATTGGAATTTAAAATTCTCGGAATGTTTTAATCAATTAATAAAGATTCCATATCAGGAGGATCAAATAATTATACTTTTAAGACAAGCTATATATACTAAGGAAAAACCATTTGCAAAACGTACTACCCTAAAATACTGATTTAAAGTATTTGAAGACGTTTTAATTTTATCATAAAAACCAGAATTAGAAATCTTTACATTTTCTTAACCGATTATATATATTTATTATATAATATGCAGTGTTTTATTGTCGAATCCGTCATTTTGAAAAGCGATCATAACACATGTGCGATTATCGTGTTTGATCCACCGATCCGGAATCCGGAAGGGGGATAAAAATCTTTTCAAGAAACCAGTTTTTTACCAAACAGATTATATTAACAGAATAATACATGAATACATGGAAATATGGAATATATTTCTCGTGTCGAGAAAGATATCACACTCGTTCGCTGCGCTCACTCGTTCGATATTATATTAAAATAGTTATTATAGTTAGACGAATCAGTAAAAAACGGATATTACCTACAGTGCATACTAAAAATTTGATCAACGACTGCATTCAGTACTGAACAAATCAAATGCAGGTCATGCACTCTGAAAAAATGTCTTTACAACGATAAAAATAACACATGAAGATAATAATCTGAGGTTATAAGACATATGCTTTTTTATGAAGGCTAAGCTCGATCAATTAAACACAGTCCATGCATATACAGAATTACAGCTTCAGTATAGCCAACCATTATTTTGATGAACGTATTTTGAGGGTTATATTATACCATATTATATCATCGCCTCGGTACAATGTATAACATATACATTATATCCTAACAATTTTGAATCAGGGTTATACTTATATCTATATAAGTATTTACGTATACATTTAGGAATTTCCTATAGCTACCACGGCAATGCATGCAAACACTGTTTTTTAATTGAGACACACGCTGTGTAGCCACAATGACTGATCGCATGACTTCACCAAACATATTAGAAAGAAACATTCCAACTAGTAATTAATTCCATTGCAAAAAAACAGCCTTCGACTATTGGCGCCAGGAAATATAGCTGTTGCTATTTATATCATGCCTGAAAAATGTCTTTACATAGCTATGTATAAAATCGCGAACGGACGGACGTTGCACTCGTTCAATTTTATTAAAAAATTGTTGGGCTTTATCAACTTAATGAATATATAATGTACTGTAATTGTATAAGCTATATATTTCCCTACCGATAAATATATAATTATAATAGAAACCCTTAAGCTCGATTATTTTCACGTAGTTTATCAAAGTTTCTGATACATACAACGAATGCTTTCTGGAATCTCTTTAATGTCAATGATCTTTACCTTCTTAATTCGATCGTCTCACCCATAAAAAGAGTATTAATCGATCTGAGAATAATATATAAATTATTCACCGAAATAGTCAACTCCCTGCAAAGTTTCAATGCCATTTAATGAAACAAATAAAATTGGTCTCATTCTTGAAATATATATACCTCACCGAATGCATGTATGGCGGTAAATATATACGTGTATGCAATATGTGAAGGAAAGCTAAGTGCTTTACTCTATGTCCCTTGGAATTCTTAAATCTACACAATAGTTTTACCTTGATATTGTTACGTTGTTAAGAAATTCACTACAACCACAAATGTATCAAGAGCCAGGCCTTATATATATAGGTGCTCTAACGACCACATCTTTTGGAAAAAAATTCTATAAATTATGCCTATAACCTAAGAAACAACCAATTCAAGCATATTATGAGATTACTTCGAGCAACTGCGGAATTGTGAAATTATTTTAAAAAACTGAGGGAAATATGAAATTACTTACTAAAATGGGATTTGTCTACTCTATGATGCCAAAGAACTTAAATCAAAATTCTATATAGCTCTTATACAACGCATACACCTGACTGCATTTTGTAC